GTGTGCAACTCAAATCAGTTAATAAAGAGTGTAAAAGAGAATTAAGTATTAATAAAAGCTCTTCAGTCACTGAAAAAGTAATTCTTACTTAAAAGAATATGAAATTATGACAGAAAATAACTCTGTTTTTAATTCTTTGTAAGAATATTGTGTAAAACTCAGAGAAAAACATCTTACTTTTTTAAGAGAAGTATAAAACTATTTCTAAGATCTTTTTTTTTTTTTATTGCATTAACTGCTGCAGAAGAATGAGATAGAAACTGCTAAGATATGTATTACTATATACTCTCTATCAAGACTTTCTCTCTTCAGAGTCTTGATATTATAGAGAATATAAGTCTGTTTCTATATAATAATATAAATATTGTCAGCAGAATGTAGAGGAACTGGTTATTTATATCTCAAAATAGAAGACTTTGTCAATGATTATATTAATATAGAGATAATTCTCAAATTCAATAGAAACCTAGTGTTGCTGTTCTCAATTCCTTGCAGAATCTATTGAATATTGAGATATTAAAACTAGATTTAATATATCTCACTGTGCAGGGATCAAAGACTCAGTCAGATCTTGAGATATACTGAATTTATAGTTATTGATGTGCTGTTGACTTGTTCTGTTGACTTGTTGTCTGCTGATTATGTATCAAGTACTGTTGCCAGAGTGTCTTTTTGTATTGTTCTGCTGAGGATGGGCCAGATTGAGAGGGGCGGTACAAGGGTGAGACTTGGTGTTTATGTCTAGATACACTGAAGACAGACAGGGTATTCACAGAGATTGCACTTCAGAAGTGTTCATTGATTATGTGCTTGATATTATTGCTGAGGTATCTTTTTGTATTTTTCTGCCGGGGATGGGCCAGATTGGGAAGGGCGGTACGAGGGTGGGACTTGGTGTTGATGTTTTGGAACATCAAAGATGGACAGGGTTTTCGCGGATGTTGCTCCTTGGATATCTCCACAATCACAGATTGGGGATCTTCCAAAATCGAGAAGATTGGTGTATATGGCTAGGTCTTTTCACCTTACAATTTGTATGGCAATTTGGCCCGGGGTTGTGGTGTGGTAGGGGAGAACGGGGGATAATCCCACACAGGAGTTTTGAACAACATCTGGTTCATGTTTGGCTGGATAACTCCACCACCACACGGGGTATGCAGTCGGCGATGGGGTCAAAATGCTTGTATGATCGAGGGCTTTTCGATGGATCTATCGGCGGGTTCTTATTCAAAAAATCGAGCGAGTTCGTGGTGAAGCGGTTGTCGAGAGAGTGGCCTATTAAATATCTAGTTGAATATGATTCTACAAACATCTATCAAATTTGAATTTCACACTTAGAACAGATGATAAGAGTAAGAGATATAATATTTATTGAGAATAGAAAATTCAATTCTGAAGACCTCTACATCAAAAGACAACTAAGAGATTAGATATCTAAGAAGATGAAGCTTCTATATATGAAAGTTCAAGAATCATCAATGACTTCTATCAATCAATTGAAAGAGATTATAGGTGCAGATATTGATGTTTTTCATCTTGAAGAAAATGCTCAAAGCTCTGAAAAAATAGAGAAGGAGAATAATAAGTATAATTATTATAATATTTCAATATTTTCTACATCAGATTCAATATCAGAGCTAACAGATTCTGATGTTGATATTAATACTTATTTAGCTGTGATAGATAATTGAACACAGAATATTGCATCTAGAGCTCATAATATCAGTGCTAACTTTGATAAAGCAAATATCATTGATAACTGTAGAATCTGAAAACACAGAGCTGCTCATCTTATAGTAGTTACAAATGTCAAAAACAATCTATTTTAAATAATCAATGAGGTATTCTCTCAATCACATTCAGACTTCTATAAGTCTTAAAATTTAATTTCAAATACTGTTTTCACAGTTATCAATAATATAGCTACATCAACAGCATTTATACTGACTTCAAGAATTTATAAATTTCAACTGTCAGATTCTCTAAATCACTGAACAGATATTAAAAAACACTCACATTGTGAGGAATTTAAGAATACTATTAAGTAGAAATAAGATAGTATATCTCTGCAGAATATATATGAAATTACTAGTAAATTACAGAGAGATATTTCAGTTATTTCTCTATAATAAGTATTCATCTACAAATTCAATGATAAAGATTTTCTTTTAAAATACAAAGCTTATATCTATATACACAGAGATTTTCAATCAATCACAGATCTCACTATAAAAGCTTATATACTAGCTGTCAGAGATTTTCAAATCTTGTTAACTATAACAGCAGTATTTATTCTAGATATAAAACAGCTAGATAGAATCAATGTCTTCATTAATAGTAATATTAATGAGCTAGTATATATAAAACTGTCTAATGAATGATGAAAGTTGAAGAAGATGTAAAATTTGAAGTGTATAAATTATATACTAAAACTTCTATAAGTACTATATAAATTATACAGATCATTTCTTCTCTGATTAAATAAACTATCTTTAACATTGAAAATACTAGGCTTTGTCTCTATATCAGAGAATTGATGTCTTTTCTCTAATAATTAATTAATCATCTTCTTCTATATAAATGATATTATCATTCTATTACAATGAGAAGATTCAAAAGAAAGAGATTAACTAATCAAAGATCTTAAAAATATTTATGAGATCTGATAGATGAGAGATTTGAAATAATTTCTCAATATATAAATAATATATAATTATCTCAACTTAAAGCTCTGACTATGTCAGAATGTCTATATTAATAAGATAGTTAATATATATTATCTTATATATATCTGTAAGGTCTATATCTTACTAATCAGTGCTTCATTAGAGTCTTTTAATAAGTCAGTCATATTTGTAAAAATTCATTATTATTAATAATGTATCAGCTTCTATATCTACTTAGCAGTGATAACTCACTCTGATATTATATATACAGTGAATAAACTAGCTATATTTATGATAAATTCATTAAAATATTACTTATTAGAGATGAATAGAATGATATCTTATCTATATAATATAAAGAATCTTGCTATTCAATATAATAATAATATTGACAGATCTTTATAACTTAATCTTAAATCTGATATTATTAAAGCTGTCAGTGATATTTCTTTCATAGATAATTCAGATCACTACTCTATATAAGAATATATCTTTAAACTATTCAGTGAGACTGTTGATTAAAAATCAAATAGATAGATAATTATAACTATATCTATCACTGAAGCTGAGCTTATTACTATTTTATAAACTGATAAGAAGTCTATCTGATAAGATAGATTCTTTTAACATATTTAATTTAAATCTGATTATAAGATTCATATTCAATGTAATAACTGTTAAACTATTAATATTCTTATGAAGAAAGACCTCTCTATAATCATGAAGCTTCATTATATTAATATATATGAAAGCTGACTCTGAGAACATGTTTAATTCAGTGATATTACAGTTAATTGAGTGTCTACAGCTCAGATGCTAGCAGATGACCTCACTAAGACTCTGTTATATCAGAAACATACAGAATTTGTCAAGATGCTAGGCCTAGTTGATATATCAGATATTGTCAAGACATAAGCAGAATAAATAATATATTTTAATGTAATCTCTACAGATTCATCTACACTCTTTTTGCTATAGATTTATCTACACTCTTTTTACTACAGATTTATCTACACTCTTTTTACTATAGATTCATCTACACTCTTTTTATTACAGCTTTATTTACTTTTTCATTTACATGTTACATTCACTGAAGAGGGTATGTCAGAAAAAAGAGATTATACACTACTGAATGTCATCAATATTGTATTACTATAATATTTCTCATTATCATCAGCTTACTACAATACTTATCTAATACTTACTTATACTAGCTCTCTTAGCTCACATATATATTTTACTATAAATAGCTCTATCTTTTGTATGAAATAGATATATTAGATAGTGTATGAATAATATAACAAGTAGATCTTGATACATATAAAATTCATGTATCTTCAACATATTCATCCGTGATACTCATTCTGATAAAATCTCACTTCTTATAAATTCTTTATCTCTATTTCTATCTTTTATATAATCAATAGTGTTAGCAGTTCTTGACTACATATAACTATATAGACTGGAGTTCATGACTACTATTCATAACTCAGCTTGAATGCTATTATACATTTAATCTCTACATTTTATCTGACAGTACATATCACGCGCGCCCCGGTGGCCGAATGATTAATGCAGCCACCTGGTAGTGCCTTGGCATGGAAACCAAGGCATGTTGGGTTCGAAACCCGCAGGGGATACATTAAATCCAGAACTCAAGCACCTCAGGTTCCTAATAAATACAGAGGTGTACAAATCACTCCAACAAATCACTCTATGTTCCTGGGATGGGAAGTTATTATTGCATGTATTTAATTGTCACTTCTTTGTATTTTCTATGTTCTTGTTATCTTGGCATGGTCTCAACACCTGTATTTCCTCCTGTATAACCAACACTTGGCCTGTATTTAACATCATGCAAGGACTCATCATAAGCTCCGCTTGCATATGAGTATAATGGAAGAATAATCATAATAATAATAATAAGTACATATCACGCCAAGCTGCAAACACCCGAATAATCGCCTGTGAGCACTTATTCTTACACATCTTCATCTCTTCTTCTTTTTGAATCACTTGACTTATCGTCTTCAGATTCTCAGGACCCGAATCAGCGCCTCTTCCCTCCGAAAATTTCTGCGAAGAGAGAGACAAGGAAGCAGCTGAGAGGAGGACCAACAAATGTACTGTCAGAAAACCACAAACGATACACTTGATCGACCATAAAACAAACTTCATAATTTAAAACATGTCAGCTAAAGGAGCGGTTATATTATCTGGGAATAGCAGAACTTCTCACTTACTCATCCAGCCGCTGGGATTTTGAGTAGCTTCTAACCAAGTCAACAACCCCGTACTATTATCACGGTTCACACCTGTTATACCACCCGTGCTGGAAAGTGTTGAGAACAGAACGGCTATTATATTCAAAAGATTGTTAGCATTTTTGTTCCATAGATTCACGCTTCAAAACAAAACAAAACTCAAGTCACCAAATCCGCACATGGTGTATACTCGTTGGTCTCCCATGACAAGAATAAAGTCTCATTGCCGCCGGGTTTAAAACCAACTGTGCCATTAGTAATCTCGACCAGTGTAGCTCGGGACGGGTCTTCATCCATAGCCACACGCCATTCACCAGGCACAGGCTGGTCAACTCTCGCATAAAGCGTCAATCCGTATTCAGTCTTTGCATAAATCCGAAACAGTAATGACTCCACAGACCGTCGTGCGATTGATGATTTAAGACGTAGGAACTGTTCTGGGTCGACAGGTGCTGCTAATGTCCCAATTGCGGCACAGAGAAAATAGAGAAGACTAAAACGAGCGAGCGAGCGAGTAGTCTTCATTTTTCAAGTTTTATCTTCCTCCGCTTTCTCTTTCTCTTTGTTTTTTTAACCCTTTTTCTCTAGTTTTCCCTTTTTCACTTCCAAGTGTTGGCTTTGAGGATTTGTTTTCCGCGGCCAAAAGTCAAATTCAAGACGAAGATAAATATACGACTCGAGATGCTTCTCCACAAGAAATTGCAATAAAACTGGAGCGGGAGGAAAGTAGATTGGCACATACTTATATTGGAAGTTAGTTAACAACTTCCATGAGTTCCCAAGGATGCATTGCACATCGAGTGGATACCCGGAGGTCAATCATCTTCCACGGTGTCCGAAGATATACCTAGATACCGGGTACAGCACTACCAAACCAGTCTCACAACCTGGATAAGGGATTGAAGCATTTGGGTGGCACCCACGGAGCCACCCAACAGGTGAATTTCAAAGCCAAAGTCCTCTGACATGCTCTGAAAGGTGGCTATTCAGGTCAATGCACCCGGATGCCATCATAAGGAATCTTACCCAAAATGATGGAGATTGATGTATTTTGATCTTTTGTGCTGGCTGGCATACTGGCTAGTTAACATGGTTGTGACTTCCATGCTAACTATCCACCATCGAAATAGGCTTTCTGGAGGCAATCATGGATGAAGTAGTGGGTTACACCGGAGTGCGGGGAGATCACGTGGGGCGGCTGTCGCGGGCGCGGTCCGTTGAAAAAGTTAAATACCTGCGGGGGTGGGTTCTTTTCAGGGGAATTCTTATTGATTCCCCCCACCCTACCCGACGAAGTATAACGGACTACCGAGGTACATGTACTGTACATCCCTTACACTGTGCCACCTCCGCGCCCCTCCCCGTCCCAAAGCAACCGCCAGGAAAACAACCTTTGCATCAGACCAGTCTAGGTTAGGGATAGACCCATCGATTGATCCCATCCCATCCATCCCAACCAGCACAAACCTCTCTTCTAGCAGCTGGCGGAGTTACACCTGGGCATCTCAGGATAGGTTCCTATCTGGTTGCCTTCCATGGATGGGGAAGTTACGTGATCGCGATCGATTTCCGTGAAGGATAATTCGAGTAGAATCTGGACAGGTTCCCGTACCATTCTTTTGGGGCAATTTCTTCTCGGTCTTGTATTGTAGGTTTCAGCCGACTAGAAAGAATTAGACTAGGGGAGTATCGGAGACTGCTGGCGCTGCGTAATTAAGGGAGAGAGGAGTGGATGGTGGATCTGCCAATGGCGTCCGTGATGTAAGATGCGACAACACCACCTTTATCTTCGGGTATCACTTCATGCAGGTTCCACTCGATTAAAGTTTTTTCCATATTATAATATCAAAGAGACAATTCTTAGTTGGTACATTTATTCTCTGGAAAATCCTTTCAAAAGTCCCACGAAGGACATATTGAAGGTACAGAATTTGTAGAGCCCTTAATGCTAGCAGATAGTCGCAACGCCTTTCTATCTGTTACCTGCACGGCCTTCTCGTGTTAGTCGCAACGCCGTTGTATCAGCTTCTTACAATCCATCGATTGTTCCACCACCATGTCCTTTCTTTACCTCTTTCCCACTCCCGAGTACGGAATGGAAGAAATGAGTCCCGGGCGGAAGGGATCGGCTTGACTCGGCTGTTTGGTAATGCTTCGATATCCCGGCTGTGGTTTACCGCATGGCGAGAACTCTTAACCTTGCCATCTTAATAAGCATGCGACACTCTCCTTCAGCTTTCAGCGTAGGAAGGAGTACCGCCGTCTCTATGCTGTATGAACCAGTGATGTATCCACCTAGTGAGTTAGGTGGTTGGAATCGAACACAGTAAAGATTTCTTTTAGTGAACGATGATCAGGTCATTTCACGCACAGAGGTAACTTACTGCTCCTAATTAGAGCGAATCGGCCCTTGCAGTTGACGTTGGACCGTCAAAGCTGAATGCGTGCCCAAAATTGGGACCACTTAGGGGTGAGGATTAAGGTTTATGTTAGCATAAAACCAAAATATGGAAAAATCTGATAGGGAGCTCATGTTAGCGTCATCCATAGTTGTTATCATTATTATTGAAGATAGCAGTACTCCGTACGCAACGTAGGAATTATTGCGGCGTCGACAAGTGTCATGGTTAACAGGGCAGAGCATGAATCTTATCGCCACCGCCCAGGTGATCCCGCTCAAGGTTGTCTCCCGAAAAAGTGATCGCTATAAATCGTCCACCCGTTGCACCTTAAGGGAAAAGATATTCCAAATCGGAAGATTTCTATGGGCTCCTCGTCTTCGCCATCCCATACCCAATACCATTGTTTTATGGTGTTATTAACCTTCAACAGTAAGAAAAGCATGACTGTATAGTGGACGGGTACGGTGCCTCGACAGTTTTGGCATCGTGCATCCACAACTGTGAGGAGCGAGTTTTCAAAGCCCATGTCATCGCCTTGGGGCACCAGGGATATGCACCTTCTCAGCGGCTGGGCTCAAAACAAAAGGAATTCCTTTTTGACGAACATGGCGAGGTAATATAAATAGAGCCGAAGGAGCAACCTGTGACAGCAATTGGGTTCCTCTGGTTGATGAGAACCTCAAGGGTAGGCACATGTATCTAAATCAAATGTCCGGAATTCATCCTTAAATGATGCAGTTTTTGGCTTCGATCTTTCAAGGTTAACCCATATTGAATGAAGAGACGGTTGCATAGAAACCTATTTAGAGAATTAACAATATGCAGGACAAAGATAACATAACGTTACCTACCCGGATATTTCATTTTTCCTTCAACGTGTCCCTGTATGGCGTATCATGGGTCAATAGGTTCTCGAATAGTACGAACGAATGTCAGTTTCTAATACATGAAACTCACTCTCAGAGTCGATATTCACAAATTTCTGTTTGATTCTCTTTTTCTTTCTCTTTTTTCTCCCTTAATTTGACCTCTCAAGGAACAATGGAGATGGAGACTTTGAGACGGGCGCAGCAAGGAGCGAGGCCTAAGATTTTATGGTATGAAAAGGTGAGAGCAACTTATGTTTCCATGTGTGTGAGTGGGGAGTTAGATGACAAACTTGGATGAGAAGGTGAAATAAGGAGGACTTGAATTAAAGCATTTCGTATTTCCGGATCCAGTGGAGTTAAGGGGAGAGGTAAAGGTGTGAGTAAGTATCGGGTAAAATGTTTTGGAAATTGTCCAAGAGCATGTAAAAATTCTCAAGGGTATTCTCTTTCTCGTCCACTCATCCATTTTTTTTCCTTCTCTCGTATTTTGAATGTTTGTATGTTATGATATTTTGGGGTAGGAAAGGCAATGGTGGCAAGTACCGGAGGATAGGACAGGGGCAGGAACAGGGCTAGATGAAATTGTGCCAAACTCGAGTGCGGAGTACACAAAAAAGAAGAAAGAAAAAAAAGAAAAGAAAAAAGGCCAATAGAGCCAATAGAAAAAGGAGAAATTATCGAAAAATGACACAAGGACCAAAAGCCTCATTATTTTAGAAGAAGTATGGTTGAGAAACGGTAACTTGTGACGAAAAGGAGGAAATATAGAAAGAAAGACATGCAGCCACAGAAGCTCATTTGACAGGCTGGCCGAACAATAAAACGCACATCACAAAACACGGTAAATAAGGAGAAGGATTTGAGCAAGCAGTTTCCTTTTTCTCTCTATGGTTGCTTAAAACGTCTCTAGTTCCTCGCCTCCGGCAGCCCCTTCTGCCTCGGGTATTTCGAAGCCCTCCTTTATTAAGAGTTCTTGGTTAGCAAACTTGGTCTGTAGACGATGAAAGCTCGACAGAACAGAACAAAAGCAATGGAATATTTCAATAAAGCAAAATAAAGAAACATGAGAAGGGGGATAGGGATTTGCCATGAAAACCAAAAGGAACGGGGAGCCAAACAGGACATACCTCAGTCGAATAGAGGATAGCTTGAATATGTTTCACGAGCGAATCGTCATCCTTATCCAGCTCTGGATCCGCCTCGACAGCCTGCTGCAGCAACAGCTCGATGTCTCGCAACTTTGAAAAGTAAAAATCGCGCTCCTTCTCCAGGCCGGCGATGGCTTCCTTTTGCGCATTTATCTCGGCCGTCAATGCGGCTGAGTTGGCTCCACCAACACCACCAGCGAGTCGTGGCCGGCCGCCCGCTGAGTTCACGGGTGTCGTGCCACCTCTTCGTGCGCCTGAGGCAGATGTAGTACGTGTGGAATTGGAGGCTGGGGCCCCAGAGGCCTTTCGTCTGCCGAGGGCGTCATATTCACCACCTGGGTAGTATTGGTCCCAGTGCTTCTTAGTCCATTGGAGGAATTCGAGGTTATCTTGCATTCGGCATTTGATGAGATTTTCAACGGGGACGGGACGGTCTATTTGGTGCCGTATGAAGACATCTAAGAGATTGATTGTTAGAATTTGGGGAGGAGTATAATCACTTGAAAACGCATCCCAGCAGCGTTGGTAAGGAGATATATTGCTTTTGGGAGCTGATTGTAAAATTGTGGATTTGTTTGGGGAAGGGGTTTCGAGTAGGTCGTACTTTGCAGGATCTTGAAGTTTTGGAGGTAGGCGTATTCAGTATTGACATTGAACTTGACTCTCGCCATGGGTACATCCACTATTCGACGAAGTCCAAGTTGGTTAGCGATAAGATAATTATTATCTCCAGAAGAATCCACATAAAGAGTACTGACTGTATATAGAATCAAAGACCTGGCATAGCGCAGCCCTATATCAAACAGGCAAGCAGCATTTCGTCAGCCATGTCCTCTTAATACTTTTCCAGTTCGTAAAATTCAAATATTTCAAGTCTCAGTGTCGTCCGTCAAATCGAGGCTCCTTTCGTACGTTGACATCCCAGGCCCAGGTGACTGTCATCTTCCTCCAACCCAGCCCCATTCCATGCCAACCACCCCGACCAACCTATCCAAAGTCCTTTTAAACCGGCTAAACCCCCATACAAGACGAAGGCAGGGCAGGAATGGAGACGGTTGGAGCGAGAGGACACTGGGTCGGAACACCAAGTATCCCGGCAGCACGGGAACGCAACGAAGCTCGACACAAAGGAAACGGCAAGAAAAAAGTTATAGTGCATACCCGGTACCGCATTGCTCGACTTTGGTAATGTTTAGCTGCAGCAGGTTGTTCAACCACGCCAACAACTCTTGCCTACATATTCAGCCCCGACCCCAAAAAGAAGCGGGAGGAGAATCGTCAGCATGGGATCGTCACGTATGTGTGTGTGGATACATCAGACAACCGGCCAGAGGGAGCAGGGCCAGTAACTCTCATATTTAGTAGAGCAGGAAAATAGATAGATAGTTTCCACTCATTCCCTTCTTGATGGTATCTTGTGAAAGAGAGAAAAAAGAGTACAAGTCAGGGCTCTGCTCGCTTTTGCCGCCCACTTCATCCCATCCATCCCATCCACCCGTCTGCCTCGCTCCCTTTTCCTGAAGAAGAATGTAGTGAAAGGGGAAGATGAGGGGGGGGGAAATGGCACTCAACAAACATACCTAGATTCACCCATGGCGAATATGGATCAAATCGATACCGGAGATCTATCTTCCTGTTCTGTTGTACGGATCCCTCCCCTAAAGGATGTGGTGCCCGTTTTTCTTAAAACTGTTTTTCGTGCTTTGGTTTTTGCACGAAGCTGATGGAACTGACTGTATGAACCCCCTGTACGAGATACGAAGGGCGGTTAGAACGAGAGAAGCAGAGGGAGAGTTTGAGAGGCGGAATGGGTAAAGAGGAGACGGGGTAGAATTATGTACGGACGTGTTTAGGTCAGAGGGGGAGAGGAGAGGAGAGGAAGAGGGGGGGGGGGGGGGGGACGCACGGTTGCGGTTTGGGAGATGATGTTATTTATTTAGTCTCCCAGCTGGAGGAGTTGAGACTCGAGAGAATGGAGGATTGGAGGGAGTGGGGGGTTGGAGGGGAGAATTACGAGAGTGAGTGAGAGGGAGGGAGAGAGAGATGAAGATGAAGATGAAAAATGAAAGACAAAAGGCGAAACCCGTTCGTAGTTGTTTGGTCTTGTTTTGTTTTTCCTGTCCTAGGAATGGACTTAAAATCCTTAAAAATATTCGGGTTAACTCAATTCGCTTTATTTATTTTTGATTCTATTTATTCTATTGATTTTTTGCCCCCACAACCGCTCTGGCCAACACTGAATAATATTCAACTCTATCTACAGGGAGGGATCCAGAGAGGTAGAATTACCTATCTGAGGTAATGAATGGATGTTGAATAAAGTTATTGTTATCTTAACTATTTTACACTACATTCGTATTTTGTTGTGTTCCTGACACAGGTTATCTATGAAGGCTGTTTGTTGCTATGGGTTGTCATTTTCTGTGGACAGCAGGATATATTATGATTTCAATGTCACTCGGTGCTCCTGTGCCTTCCGGTGGTTCGTTGTCATCGGAACGGTTCTTCCTGTTCAATTCCTCCACTCACAGTCCAAGAAAATCCTTTTAGCACTCCGCTAGCAAAGCAAAATATTAGGTATCATCAAATTCACTGAATACAATCACATGTCTGAAGAGAATAAAAAGTTTAGCGTTGAAATGGATAATAAAAATTCGTGCTAGGCGTGCGGCATAATTATTTCATATAGAAGAGGACAAATCATTATAAAAGTATATATACACGACAGCGAAGAAACCGACAAGAAGAAAATAGTTAAAACATTCCCATCTCTATGAACAGCAGTCAAACCGCAACAAACAGCACATACAGCACATACAGCATTGAAAATGAATACAGTCAACCCAGCTCCGGTATAGCGCAAGAGAAAAACCGAAGAAAGAAATATATAGATAAGAAAAAACAGGTCTAAAATCCCAGTAGAAGGCCACATAGGTTTAAAACCTATAGAGAAGCAGGAAATAGAAATGGAAAGGAGAGAAAAGAATAGACAAGACAAGAAAGTAGATAATAAGAATCGAGAACAGAAGACTGTCTATGACGGTTATACACAGGCGTAACATAACATAGAAAATAGGTGCAAGAACAGATGAATATCAGGATGAAATCATTTCTGTGTGCAGGCAAAAGCAAATAAGCTGCAGACGGCCAAAGAAAACAGTGAGGATGAAACCAGAAGAAAAGGGAAGAAAAGAAAAGGAATAAGGAAAAAACAGCGAGAGATAGTAGGCGTCGCGTGCGAATGTCAAGATTGGATAAATGAAGAAGCTGCACACACCGGGTGGCAGCTCAGTGTAGGGGGAAAAGAATAACAGAACCGGATTTTCCGAACCAAAACAGAGGGACGATGCAAGGGAAATAGAGACGAAAGAAATTGTGTTCAGATAAAAAAGGACAGAAAGGAAAAGAGAAGAAACAGATGCTCCAAATATTAAAAAAATAATATATATATATAAAAGAAAAGGGAAAAGAAAAGAAAAGAGAAGAAAAGAAAAAACCTGTCTTGACATATTAACTCCCGTAAATCACTCCTCAAGAAGCTCAATCCCATCGAGCCCATACCCAAAATCCATAATAACAGTACGCCCATCCTGGCCCGCCGCTACAATTCGTCGATAATCACTCTTGGCACCGAGAATCCAACTCGTTGTCCAATTCGCCAAACTGATCGATAACTGCCCACTTGCCGCATCATAAACCTTAACGCTCCTATCGTAGCTCCCACTCACTATCCGTCCATTTGCCGAGTCCATATGCAATGAGCGCACGAGGCCCCAGTGACCTTTCAACTCGTCCACAAGTTCGCCTGTGTTTGCGTCGAATTGGTAGATGACCTCATCATTGCCGCCGGCTAGGATTGTGCGGGCGTCCTCGGAGAACTCAACGCAGGCGAGGCCGCGGTTGCGGCTGGGAAATTCCTTGATACAGAGGCCTGACGTGATATTCCAGAGCTTCGCGACGCCATCGCCGCTGGCAGAGACGATCAGCTCACCGCGGAGCTGGGCCGAGTTGACTGGTCCACGGTGGCCTAGCAGGCGTTTGACAAGATCACCCGTACGCCTATCCCATATGCAGATGGTTGTGTCCTTGGAGCAGGTGACTATGTATTTGTCGTCGAAGCAAACGTCGAGGACGCCGGCCTGGTGGCCTGTGAGGCGGCGGATGGCCCTGTAGTCACTCTTGATGTCCCAAACTATGCAGGTGTGGTCGGACGAGCCGGTGACGAGGATCTCGTCGTCGAACTGGAGGCAGAGAATAGAGGCACGGTGGTAGTCGCCTGTCGCGGAGGTGGGGGAGAATAGGTCTGGGGACGAGCGGGCCGGAGGACTAATGCTGATGAATGGGATTCGTGCGGCGTCATCGTCGTCTGGGGGGTCGATTACGAGCCGGCCTAGTGTGGACGGTGATTTTGGGTCGGGAGGGGCACCGATAATCTTGAGGCAGGGCCAGGGGTAGTGTGCGTCCCAGACACGAATGGTTCGGTCGCGGGAACCTGTAATGATTTTGTCTCTATATTTGAGTTAGAACAATTTCTACAGTCGTGGAAGGGTGATCGGCATACTCATCGAATTGAACACAATAAACGCTGTCTTTATGTCCATGTAAGTAGATTGCGGCAGCTTTGCCTTCCTTCCAGCGAGATTCCAGAGCCCGTCGAACGGCAAACATTTTCTTCCAATCCTGGTTCGGCCGAACACGTCCCAGCCCCATATACCTTGGTTGTCCGTTTGCTACTTTTCCGGTATTAGGCCCGCGCTTGTACTCGTGCCAGAAAGCTTCTCTCCACACATGATGGGAAGAGGCCAGCTCGTTCCATTGATGGGAAACCAATTCGGTTTGTCTCAGTGAGTCGGCATCAAGAAACGAGAGGACATGCGCCATAAGTTCAGCGGGTAGATAGTCCATAGGATCTGTGGCACATAGAATTAGCATCAATCGAGTTGGAAGAATCAGATGGTGGGAATCATACTTTTGCGCACAACCTCAGAATCATCCTTAGAGACGTCTACATTATTTTGTAGATTAACATCGATGCCACTCTCGGAGTCCCCTGACACATCTGACTCTTCGAGCAGAACCGTCTCAGACTCAAAAATCTTCGAATCGCCGCCTGAGGCCACGCGGCCAATCTTGACCATCTCATTTTGAGCAGCCGCAGCAGCTCTGGCAGCGGCGCCACGCGAGAGATCATCAGGGAGAATTGGCGGCTCCGAGCCATTTCCTGGAATAGGATCTGCCACGTAGGGTACTGGTGGTGGCGGCGAACCATAACGGTTGAGTGCATTGAGATTACTGTAGGAAGGGCGATGGAATGAACGACCGGGTCGGGGTCCCATGACAGCTCCAGAATCGGCCGACCTATAGTCGTCCGAAGTATTACCATCGTCTTTCCCTCCCATGGGTACTGCGAGGTTATACTTGGAAGACTTGTGCCGAAGTGTCAAGGAAAGGCGACGTGCAACGGCCCTCAACTCATGTGTGACGCCATGACGCAGGTTGGAGAAGCTTTTGCTGGCGCGATGTCTTGTTTTCAGGGAAGGAAAAGTATTGTCATCTTCCGATTCGACCAGGGTAGGCGTTGCAATATAGCCGGGTTGTTGTGGTTGTAATTGCCCGGTTCCCGGGTCGCACACCGCAATCTCATGGGAGAAGGGCGAAACTGCTTCTCGATAGCTTCCATCCTTGTGAGGGACCCATACGCCAGTGTGTGGACGCGAAGGTAACGGGGGCAACGGGGGCAAAGGCGGATCGGCTCCAGTTGTCGCAGTTTTGGGACGGAAGCCAGCTAGCAGAGAAGGTCTTCGACGGACTGAACGAGGGGGGTTTGCTGAGGTATTTGGCGACATTGGGGGCTTAAACCGTCGAAAATAGCGAGCAGAGAATTCGATATATGCAGAAAGCGAAATCGTGACGTTGCTTCTCCAGGGGAGAGTAAGGAAAAACAAGCAGCCGTGAATAATAAATACAAATGTTACAGGTGGTTTTCTAAGGAGACTGAGAATGACTCTTGATATAGATTCGGGATGCTTCGCATTCAGCAAAGAGTCCGTCCGTCCCGTTGTTGGTTGCACGGGATAATCCGACGGCAGTGAAGAGATCCGACAAAAGAGGCGATCCGGCTCTTGAAGAAGAAAGTTTTTTTTTTTTTTTTACTGATCTGCAACTTTCTCGACTCCGCCGAGCCTACGAAATAGGGGGCAGATAACGCAAACAATAGTGCGGACAAGGGCCGGTGGACAAAGGGCTAGCCACAAAAAGAATAGGAACGATGACAAACAGAAGTGGGTGTTGCGTACTCCGTAACGTTTTCAATACAACCAGGGGGATCAGAGACAGGAGGAGAAATAGGACAGAGAATGAAATGAAAGACGGAGAGAGAAAACACACTGGATAACAAAAGAGAGGAGGGGGGAGGTTGGAGCTGGATGAGCGTTGGTCCGGATGGTGGCAGAAAGAAAGAGAAGGAGATGTCTCCTGAAGTTTGTCTGTTTTGTCTGGTGCCTTGGCAGAAAAAGAGGGGGCGGTGAGAGCTCTGACCAATCGTAGCTATGGAAAAATTTTCCTGTTTGCCGTTTTCGCGTCGAAATTTTAAACACTAACTAGAAGCGGAAAGGGGCTTGCAATGGTTGCCGCAAGTTGGGTGGTTGCCGTTTCGTCGGTGTGTGTCCCGTACTGGGCCAATCAGAGCTCAGGCGGGGGGGGGAGTAGGCTCAGGGGGCACAGAACAAACAGCGTTCGACACGCGAGGTATAAACCTCCATAGATAGGAGTTAAAACATCGAGGTAGAAACCTAGAAAGGGAGGCTCCAACAACCTTGGAATGACAGGGCGATGATATTTCATATATATATATATATATATATGCCTTACCCGTCCCCATGTATCTGCCCCATGATCTCTTGCATGGTTGGTTCGGTACCTGTGCACTCACTGTCAAGGATTCTTGCATTGTCGAATCATTCCCATGTCCATCCATACTCTTATTGGTGAAGAACTGCTCGGAGAGAAAGTCCAAAACTAGGTTTTGACATGTAAAGCTTGAAGAAAACCCTTTTTTGTAAACCCAGAAATGATGTCAATAAAATAATTTAATACTTGGAGAATATTTTTTCTCATCCAAACTCAGATTGTAACTTAAGTTAAAATAAATCTTAAAATTTTTTAACAACATCCCATCCTCACAGCGCGAGGCGATTTGCTTGCAACTCCACCCCTGCTGAATTTGACAGGAGATCGGCCACTACGTACAGAAGAATGCATGTATCGGGGACTACCGTCCTACAATAATCGGTCCATATAGTCCGTACTCCGTACTCCGTACATAGCTATAGTAATCGAGTCAGGACAACTCTACGGAGTACGGTACATATACTATTATACACTGAATACGCGCGCATTATTCATATCTCTTTGTCTATCCATATCCTAGCAACTCGCAGCCATGAGGAAAAAGAAGTCAGCAGAGCTAGAGCTAGAGGTAAGTTAGCCTAGAAAGGTCCCTCTCTATATTTACCTCCATAGACAATTTTGATTTTTGATTCAAAATGTGCCGGCTATGCGGTGAGTCAAGGAACGCTCTCACCGCCCTTTATATTGGAAAATATTTTAAGAGCTTCTACATCATACTGATACCCGTGCAGGTCCCTTTACATCTTTCTTTTTAAAATCCTTGATCTATCGCCTTTAGTACTATAAATAGGAACCGATGTCGGGATACACGGATGGTGTGGATATGGGGCGGGGTAGGGCGAGGGGGAGGGGCTATAGTAACAGAAGTACATGTACATACATACATTACAGGTACATATATATATATATATATATATATACGTGTGCTGCGCGGCGATTGAGTACGAAAATGTCTACCGAGGCACGGATTGATGCAGACGAGGCCTTGCTGAAAGGTTACTTGCAGCTCCTGGGAGTGGTACGTCTTCAATCCATGTTAAGACATGTTGACAGGGTTGTACCGTAGAAGTGATGGATATCTATGTCGGGTGCTGGGTGGCAGTGGGAGGCGAGTGCTTTTTATAGGTAGCTCTGCATCGGCGAATGGGAAGGTGAGCATCTACCAGCCATTCAGTTTGTAGATACAGTGTTGTTTCCTATATGGTGGGGGATGAAAATGAAGATCGGAGAGGCGCAAAAGGGAAGAAAGGAGACGCAACATTTATTTTGTCTTTTTTTTTTTTTATATATATATATTATTACTTAAACCTCGCATCCATCTATATCGTGTAGGAGAATTTTAGGAACGGAAGAATGCAGGCCCTTCTTACCGGGAGGAGCGGGAGGGGCCGGGATGCATGGGCGGGAGAGGCTGGAGAGATCTGTTTGTTCATGCGCTTTTATGTAAATGCACTCAGTAGTCATATCGATATCGAACCCTTGGACCGTCGTCATCCATATCTCGTAGCCAACCGGAAATACTTCGTATCATCTATAAAAAATCCTCAAAAAACTAAGAGCACCCTCCTCCTCTTCAAGCGAAAACTGCCATATCAATCAACCAAGATCTCCCCAAGTAAGTAGCAGGCAATTATCCAATATATCGTCCAGCGAAATAACCATCACACACCTGCAAGTCGTTGACTGCGTCTTTTGATCTAATTCTTGCGTGAGTGGTTTCTTAAAAATCAAGTTTATTGTAACACCTCTACGGAGTATATGTGACCGAATAAGGTCCAAGCCCGATCAGTATCTGTGCTATTAGCTCAAGTTAGTGGTGTTGGATATAGTTAGACTTTTGTCGCCGACTCGAACCATTCTCTTCACTATGACAGCAGTCTAGGCGGAAGCTCCTTAGTCCTGTATGCTGCGACTCCTCATATTGCTAGCAGGACATGTGGCTCGGCTCGACCTCCTCCACACCTCCAACCCCTATGCAACCGCCACGCCCGCAACTCCCATCTTCTACACAGGACATGGATGCGTAAGGCCCGGTTCATCCCAAGCACCGTTCCAACATGCACAGAGCCATCCGCGGTCTCTGGCTGGCTCGCACCTGTTGATTCAAGTTTCACAAGAAGCGTCGGGTCAGGTGTTCGGTGCATGAAGCGTGAGAAATTCTCCAACACGTCACAGCGGCATGGTTAGCTTCTTGCAACATACTCGCAGATGCTGGGTTCAGTGTGTCCCCGGTTCAGAAATGTCGTTGACGTGCAGGGGTTGAGAGCTTTGCTGTTACGCCATGTTTGCTGGAGATTGTTCGGGTGTAGCTGGGTAGTTTGCCGCAGGCCTGCTTCAGTGAAGTTGGCTTCTGGACTATGATATTGGTTGGTTCATTGCGGGACAGATATCCTTGCAGGTAGCCCTGGTTTAGTTTGACAGGAGGTGCTAATCTCAGAAGGCGAATGTTGGAGGTAGAGAGAGCTTTGAGCATTCCGCGGTTGACTGGGAGGGTAGAATCTACTGAATGTCGTCGAGTAGATTTTGGTTTTTGAGCTTCCATCTGACAGGTCCTCCATTACACATGACCAGGTAAAAGTTGCCCTTTGAGCCTTCCAAGGATGTTTATGTCTAAAATTGCCCTGCATCCAACATTGCAAAGCTGGACGATCGCACGAAACCGTTATGTCGTCCAAACACTCATCTGACGCTCATTCCGAGGCAAGCATATAGGCGCATTGCTTCTCCCATTCTCGACCTAAATCTTAAGCGGGGCATTTGCAGGTCTAGCGCACCTTTGCATGAGAACTAAGGGATGCATATATTTTTTCTGTACTGCAACAAGAAAGACTATCCCAGCTCTGTATCGCCTCGGTGGAGTTGGCAATCAATCCGGCTAAAAGCTCAAGGCGGTTTAAGAAAGCCAGGTAGCTTCCAACCGCTTCATTGTGCTACCTAAAGGGGTTATGTTGACTTTGTTTTAAGTTTCATCATGGCTTAAACCGGTCGACAATTATTCTTTGGGGCAGTTTCACCAATAAACCAACCACCTTGGTAGTTAGCGGGAGATCATGGATGGAAGTACTCCGTATTTCATGGGTTATGATGTAAGAGGGGTAAATGTCCGGTAGGGCTAAACCTTACAGATCTGTCAGCTTGTATGTACAGCGCAAGGAACGGAAAGCAAGAATATAAGATACAGATTTTGCAGAAGTTGGCCGCTGTTGGCATATCCTTTGTGCTGCTGTTGCTTGCTTGTTTTATCCCATATATAGTTTTACCCGCGACGCGGTTCTGTGCGGGACTTTTCGCTATATTCCGCTGTCTTTACCTGCATATGACTGGCTATATAGCCCCTCCTATTTGCTTTGCTCTTTCTCCTTGTTCTCCTTCTCCCACTCCCTAACTCCATACCTCATTGCTACAATTGCTACCTGTTCATTGAAAAATCCTGCGATCTACATGCATACACACCCGACAAGAGCAAATATGGCCCCTCCAAGTGTTCTGATGGTGAGGCTGATCTTTCGAATATGACGGTTGATCAAGCAAAATATTTCTAACTATGTATCCTATCGCAGGTGGGAACCGGAGAATATACCACTGGCTTCGTAGGCGGATGCGAATCAGGTTCAGACAAAAAAGTTGGCGTCGTGGGCTTGACCCTCTTCGATTTGCGCAGGAGAGGTAAAGTCGGTAGCTTGAGCATGGTGGGCGTCTCCGGGTCCAAGTTCCCTGCAATTAGTGAGTCTACTTTCCATACGGATTGAATGAGCCGCTTCTACATCTAGTCCAGGTGATGGTCTAGGTATGATTGACGTCGTACATCGCCAGTCACATCCTAATAAAACATTGTGGAACAGAACAGCACCTCCAAAAAAACATCTCGCAGGTCTATAACAACCTAGACGTTTCTTTTAAATCCTTTCCCGCAGACGACCAAGTGGATCCAGAAGCCTACAAGGCCGCCATAGATGACCTGCCCCCCGGGTCTGCAGTCATCATCTTCACCCCAGACACCACCCATTATCCCATCGCTCTATATGCCATCCAGCGCAAGATCCACGTCTTGATTACCAAACCCGCCACAAAACTGTTGAAAGACCACCTCCACCTCCTCGAGGAATCGCGCAAGCACGGCGTCTTCGTCTTCGTGGAGCACCACAAGCGCTTCGATCCAGCTTACTCTGACGCACGCGCCAAGGCACGCACCCTAGGTGACTTCAACTACTTCTACAGCTACATGAGCCAGCCGAAGAGTCAGCTGGAGACGTTCAAGGCCTGGGCGGGCCGCGATAGCGACATCTCGTATTACTTGAACTCTCACCATGTGGATATCTGCGAGAGTATGGTGCCGGAGTATTCGCCGGTGAAGGTGACGGCGATGGCATCGAAAGGTGCCGCGGTGGCACTGGGCTGTGTGCCTGAGACAGAGGACACGATCACACTCTTAGTCGAATGGAACAAGAACGGTGAGCCGGACAAGATTGCCACGGGAGTTTATACGGCGAGCTGGACGGCGCCACAGAAGGCTGGGGTTCATTCGAATCAGTATTTTCATTGTATGTACGAACACGGACGGAGGAATTTAAAATCTCGTCTGCTCCCATTCGCCTTTATCCCCTTACCCTTTATTTCACCGCATTCGGCAGGGAAAGCCTTTGTGACCAATTGGAACTAACATAAATCCGAAAATTTTAGGGATGGGCTCGAAAGGCGAGATTCGAATCGATCAAGCCAAGCGTGGTTATGATGTGACAGACGATAGCCAGGGTAATGTCGCCTGGGTAAATCCGTAAGTTCCACAATGTCCTACTCCGCCCCCACGGCACACCCCATCTCAAAAACATCCAATCAATAATAATATTTTTTGAAAAAATCCCGCAACGCTCCACCCAACCTCATCAGGCAAGGAAGAAGCTGCGAAAAGAAATTAAAAAGAAATAATCGTTCAGACCCACAAACTCAATGGATTATTTTCTCTTTTCACAGATTCTACATGCGCTATGCACCGGACGAAGAAGGCAACTTCGGCGGTCAGACAGGTTACGGTTATATCAGTTTTGAGAAGTTTGTAGATGCCGTAAGCGCGTTGAACGACGGTCGGGTGACTCTGGATGAGCTCGATAAACGTGGGCTACCTACCCTTAAGAACACGATCGCCACCACTGCAATTTTGGAGGCCGGAAGAGTGTCGCTAGATGAGAAGCGCGCGGTTGAGATCGAAAGGTTGGGAGAGACTTGGCGGTTGAAGTAATGTGAAGTGTCGCTGGTCGGGGGCACGTAAGGTTTAAGGGGGAAAGGGAGATATATCACGCACCATGCTGAGGGGTTGATTCGCTTCTTCCTTTCATGCATGCTTCACGCATACTGTTATCGTTTTGTGGTTTGGAAGTTTGCTTCTCGTGGGAGGTAAAGGGGGAATCGCACGGAGATAATTTATCATTGAGGTGGGTGTGTAAGAATTGAATTGAAATGAATAAATTGGAAGTGACTGATTTGATAGCTCGCTCACACGGCTAAAAATGATGGAGAGGCAGTGGATAACATAGGGAAAGAGCAAAGATAAAGAAGAGAAAAAAAAAAAAAAAAGGCCTAATAAACCTACAAGGTAGTTAAGTAGCATTGATGCGCCATACATAGCCAGCCGCCAAAACGTAAAGGACGGCCGTAGGGTTAGTTATATGTATGGTTTTTTTTTGGAGTTTCATTTCGTACGGAAATCGTTGAAAGAATTTAGAATTTTTGTTTTTGCTTTTTAGACGCTTGCAACCCATGTATGAGTTGCGAGGTGAGGAGTTGGTATATATCACATGAATTACACATATATGAACCTTGGAAATGTATAATTCATGTGATTTATGCCCCTATTCAATATTTTATAGAATTCGGGGTTTGTTTTGCAAGCGGAGATGGATCCGAGTGCAATGAATGCATGTAGGTGAGAAATCTATAGAAATGGAGCAGGTTAGTTAGGAGTAAACAGATGGAGATGTACAGGATTGCAAGTGATTGTATGATTACTGGGGATCAACTTACGCTCAACCACATCATTTTAGATCCAATATTTCATTTACATATTGGATCCAATTTTGTTTGCTGTTAATATAGATAATGTTAGATTTTGGTGACAGAAACGCATCGCGCTGATACAGGAAATATGATAAATCGCGTTGACTTACGCGTGTGGGGACAGCCAGAATTATTTTCATTTTCATATAAGTTTGCTGTAGAATGTAAGCTTCGAGGCACTATTTGAGTGAATCAAAGGTCGTGGGCTAGTAGTTGAAGAGTAAATTCTTCGTATGATGAAGAAAGTCGCATTACCTTTCTGCCGGTATCATGGTGATTTAAGGAACTCCCAAAACTTACACAGTTAAACATGAACACCTGGTGGGCAATCATGCGGCGTTAAGTTGATTTAGTCTGGGAAGACCAAAATAATTTTCCCAAAGATTTCCTGAACGAAGTTCGCATTTTGAAAACGAATGAGGATTTTAGCCTCAATCGCAGTGAAGTTCTTTTACATATGTTAGTTCTCCTTCAGGAACCACACGAAAGGACGAGAGAAACAGCTGCTCCAAGAACTAACCTTGACTACTCGAGATCAGATACGGCAGCAGGATTGTGCGTATACGTATGTTGTCATTTGATTCAATTAAAGAGTCCTAAGAAGAGATGAGTCAGTTAATGGGACATAGCAAAACATAATAATAACGATTAGTTCAAGGTTAACAATGTGAAGGAAGGGAGGGCATTGAGGTCGAAGCAACAAGTAGGAACCTTGGAAGTTGATTTCAATCACGTGGAGTGGGGCACCAGATTATATAATCTATTAAAGAATTTGCACCGCCATGAACTCCACAATTCAGCCACCGGTTGCGAATCTGCGCTGACGCAGCAAGACAAGGAAGCCAGCCACGCTCGATCTGAATAGCACCTGCCTAGAATTTACCAAGTGTCGGGTTCAAAGCATGGACTACGTCATTGCTCAGCTCTACATGATTATTTGGCATGTGCCCGGGTCAAAATTTTCCCGCGCAACCCAACCTCCCCAAGGCACATCCGCAAAATCTACACTAGTGGACAGCCGTTCGTTGGGAAGGGGGAACGGCGATTTGCCCCGGCTAGGCAGCGTAGACTAAGGCGGCGGTTATGGATCTCACAGCAGACATATTCAAATTTTGTTTGGGCTATGCTTCCGGCGACTTGTACAGATATCTGTGGATGCATCCAGCTTGGGTCTCCATGAAGAGAACTGCTCCAGAACCCTTTCATTTTAACTGCATCCCTCCTCAGTGTGTCAAGGTTTGTTCCAATATAGCGAATTTGGGACTGAGGGTATTTAGTATGTAACAGTTAAAAGACTGAAGCACTTCCCCCACTTCCTTTCGGAGTCCGTGAGTCGCGCTTCCATCAGGTTTGTCCATCAAAAGATTCGGTTGACGGAGGTATCCGTCTCCCGATTCCAAATTTTCGGCGGCTGTGCCTCTCTACCTACGTCGAGGGTTTAATATTATCACATCATCACTACCTGGCATCGATCACCCAGCCGCCAAACAAGGTACGAGGTGCATGACTGTGTGTCCATGGAAGAGGCGGAAATTCCACAAGGCCACGACTTGCGACACACTTTTGACAGGTATGATAACTTCCCAAGGAAGACGATATCCGAGCTAGGGGGTTCTACCCCTCTCAAGTGTGTACTGGATTCGGGGTGGGTGGGGCAAGAGGAGACGGGGAGAAAAGAAGAAAAATCGTCCCCGATACAGTTGAATTGAAAGTCCAAGTTCCCTTCTCCCTTCCCAGAGGTGATCCGAATACCCACACCACACCACAGCTCGTTGCAAAATGCCTCACAGATCTGTGTGGGTTATTTTCACGACGGGGTGGGGTTTGAAGAGGGGATGGACGTACGTCTTACTCTCGCCAAGGAGGGCGGTGTAATATACTGCCAAGCACGGACGAGGGACCAATATCCTGCGCTCATCAAAAACGACGAATCAATCTGCCTCGAACGGGGCGTATGGAAAAATAGATATGGATGGGATATAGAATCGCTGCCGTGAATGTTCAAACAGTGCGACCGCAACCAAGGAAAGGGGTGTTAGCGTTTATATCATAAGAGATTGCTGACCTCCTGTCTGTGTCTGTTGGAGGGTAGGATCCCGTCTCGAGCAACAAGCCCCTCCCGCACAACGCCAATTGGCGGGACAAAATACGACCAAAGGAGAGAGCGCTTGAGAAAGCGTCAGGTAACCTTGAAAACTTTCACAAAAGATCTGCCAGAGCTAAAATGGAAGCAGGCTCCGTGGGGTGTGCAGAAAGAGCGCCAGAAGGTTTTTGGAGAGCTTTTGAGGCTGCAATACAAAGTTGGCTTAGTCAGCACCCGTGGACTCCTGCCAAACCTACCTCGGGAAGTTACCGCGAGCCAATCACAGCGGCGAAATAGCCTGCAGCGTTGAAGCAGCAATAACTGGATCTGGGATCTTCTGCGGCCATTGTGTTTGCTCGCTTGAAGCTTGTTGAAGGGAACCACCGATCATCAAATATGGACTGCGGCGCCTATATTGCGACGTTTGTAGTGTCAGCCGGACGGGCGAATGGCCTCCTTCCCCTCGCAGGTGATTTTTCCATGGCGGCGGCGTCGTTGTCTAACCCCTACAGGGGGCACCAAGAAGCACAGCCCCGATACTATTCCATCAGTCCCCACACCAGCCCGTTCCACGAAGAAACTCAAGCCAGGCTAGACAGACTGGACACAGGAACTTCGCCTTCTTGTTGGTTTTGCCTTTTGTATTTTATAATTAACACGAGTTCGCTGTGAATGTAAGACTATTTTTTGTTCATATTTTCGCGACCTCGTCAATCACACATCCCTTGTTCAACTTATTCAATTTTTCTGAATCTTCTTTCATAACCACCTGGCTACTACTGTCTGCTCAAGGAGGACCGTATAGAGACCTCCTTTTCGCCTGTGGTTTTTTCAGCCACCGCGCCCAATGGCGAACGACAATAATAGATTGTTGGCTCCCCCAGTACTCATCAATACTTCGGTATGCTGCTGGCACTCGATTTCATTATTTCATTATTTCTAAGAGTGGATATAATACTGACATGCAGCCAAAGCTATCCAACACATCAACTTCAGATTCGAGTTTCAATGAGGATGCTATCTCGATAGATCGACCCACTACACGGAATAACGATGGCTCATTCCTCATCCCTAACAGTCCCGGCTCTGTGGACGGCGAAACCCTTCGTTCACGTTCCGGCTCGTTTATCTCAAATGTAGAGACTCTGAGATCTAGAGCTGGGTCTACGGCCCACTCGCATTCGCCAGAGAAAGGGGGGGCAGATTACGATGACGTCCCATTATCAGAAGCTCTTAATCCAGATCTGCGAAATATCGCAGACTTCCAAGTGGAGAATAACCCTTTCGCCTTTTCGCCCGGTCAGCTGAATAAAATGTTAAATCCCAAGTCTCTCAAAGCATTTGTAGCTCTCGGAGGCCTGTGGGGCTTGGAGCGCGGATTACGAACGGATTTGACGGCGGGCTTGTCGATCGATGAAAGCAGGCTGGAAGGGACCGTTTCTTTTGAAGAAGCCACCAAACAATCTTCTTCGAGTAAATATCCAGAGACGAAGCAGGAATTGACGAAAATGCCTACGGAGTCTGGTTTCTCGGTTCAATCACAGTTTACAGATCGGCTGCGGGTCTATCAGTCCAATAAACTACCGGAAAGACAGGCGGACGGGTTTTTGATTCTTCTCTGGAGGGCTTATAATGATAAAATCATTATTCTACTCACCATTGCCGCTGTTGTATCCCTCACTCTGGGCCTCTACGAGACGTTTAGCGGAGGATCGCAGGTTGACTGGATCGAGGGTGTTGCCATTTGCGTTGCCATTTTAATCGTCACGCTTGTCACGGCTGCGAATGATTGGCAAAAGGAACGACAGTTTGTCAAACTGAACAGGAGGGTTCGTATTTTCTGGTTTATTGGATATTTTCGATTTCTTTGTACTGACAAAGCAGCAGAAAAATGACCGCCAAGTCAAAGTTATCCGTTCAGGGAAATCAGTCATGATCTCAATTCACGACATCACAGTGGGCGATGTCCTCCACCTGGAACCGGGTGATGCGATCCCCGCGGATGGCGTTTTCCTTACTGGTCATGGTGTAAAATGCGACGAATCATCTGCCACTGGAGAATCGGACCAAATGAAGAAAACCCCCGGAAACGAGGTGTGGCAGCGTATCATGGATGGGACAGCTACAAAGAAACTCGACCCGTTTATTATTTCTGGAAGCAAGGTTCTTGAAGGCGTCGGTACCTATCTCGTCACCAGCGTTGGACCCAATTCTACCTACGGCAAAATCATGATGTCGCTGCAAACTTCGAACGATCCCACCCCTCTCCAAGTTAAGCTTGGGAGACTTGCCAATTGGATTGGTGGTCTTGGAACTGCGTACGTGCCGCCATATACTCCAGTCTCTGTTCTTGATACTGAGCACTTTCACTAACTTAAGTCTATAGTGCGGCTGTTACCTTGTTTATGGTTCTTCTCATTCGCTTCCTTGTCCAGCTCCCTGATAATCCAGGAACTGCGGCGCACAAGAGCAGAGAATTCCTACATATTTTAATAGTCGCAGTCACAGTAATTGTTGTCGCAATCCCAGGTAAGCATTAATTTATTCTATTCCAACCTCAAGCAGAAGCACCTTTCTAACTCTCTTTTACTAGAGGGCCTTCCGTTGGCTGTCACCTTAGCCCTGGCATTCGCCACCAAGCGCATGGTCAAGGAAAACAACCTTGTCCGCATCCTGCGCGCCTGCGAAACAATGGGAAACGCAACTGTTATTTGCTCCGACAAGACTGGTACTCTCACTCAGAACAAGATGACGGTTGTGGCAGGAACTGTCGGCGTCGATACTAGTTTCAACCAGGTTTCGGAGGATGGCGAAGGATTTTCGAACATGGCGGAGAAGCTAAAGAACTTTCCTGCTCCAATTAGGAGTCTTCTCGTCAAAGGCATTGCTCTCAACTCGACTGCTTTCGAAGGCGAAGAAAACGGGCAACGAGTCTTTATCGGAAGCAAAACAGAGGTTGCCATGCTAAACCTTGCGCAGAACTACCTTGGGCTGGTGAATGTGGCTGAGGAGCGTTCCAATGCCGAAGTTGTTCAGCTCATTCCTTTCGACTCTGCGCGCAAGTGTATGGGTGTCGTCGTCCGCCAGCCATCCGGAGAATATCGCCTTCACGTCAAGGGCGCTGCAGAAATACTACTTGGACAATCCAGCAAGGTAATCTCGATCACTTCGGATAGTCATTACTCTTTGGAAACCCTCTCGGAGAGCTCGCGGAATATGGTTCTTGACACCATCGACATGTACTCCAAGCGTTCTCTTCGTAACATCGGCATGGTGTACAAAGATTTCGAATCGTGGCCACCAGCAGGTGCGAAGACTATGGAGGATGAGCGTTCCATGGCTGACTTCAATGATATCTTTCATGACATGAACTGGGTTGGTGTTGTTGGTATTCAAGACCCTCTGAGACCTGAGGTTCCGGCTGCTATTCAGAAATGCAATATGGCCGGAGTTTCCGTGAAAATGGTTACAGGTTTGTACATTCCCCTTTATCTACCCAAAGCTTGCTTATGGTTCGGTTACCAGAAGTTAATACCCAGAATTCTAATTTGCAGGTGACAATATTACGACGGCCATTGCTATCGCCACGGAATGCGGCATCAAAACTCCCGAAGGTATCGCCATGGAAGGACCCAAATTTCGGCAACTCTCGGATGAGGAGATGGATAGAATCCTTCCAAATCTGCAAGTCCTAGCTCGTTCTTCTCCAGAAGACAAGCGAATCCTGGTTGCTCGACTGAAGCATCTCGGGGAGACTGTCGCTGTTACTGGCGATGGAACTAACGACGGACCGGCTCTTAAGACCGCTGATGTGGGATTTTCCATGGGCATTGCTGGTACGGAGGTTGCCAAAGAAGCCAGTTCGATTATTCTGTTGGACGACAACTTTAAATCCATTGTCACTGCCATCGCCTGGGGACGAGCGGTAAACGACGCCGTTGCAAAGTTCCTTCAGTTCCAAATTACCGTCAACATTACTGCCGTTTTCCTGACATTCGTGTCCGCCGTCTCAAACAGCAATAACGAGAGTGTATTGAAACCGGTACAACTGCTATGGGTTAATCTCATCATGGACACCTTCGCTGCATTGGCACTCGCTACTGATGCTCCCACAGAGAAAATCCTAGAACGAAAACCCACCCCAAAATCCGCCCCCCTCTTCACAACAACAATGTGGAAAATGATCATCGGACAAACCATCTACCAGCTCGCCGTGACTTACACTCTCTACTTCGGCGGTGCCCGCATCTTTAACTACGACCTGAGCGACCAAGTCGTTAAGGAGAAACTGAACACAGTTGTCTTCAACACCTTTGTCTGGATGCAGATTTTCAATGAATTCAACAACCGCCGCCTCGATAACAAGTTCAATATCTTCGAGGGCATCCTTAAAAACTACTACTTCATCGGCATTAATTGCCTCATGTTCGGTGGGCAAATCATGATCATCTTCGTCGGCGGTTCTGCACTTTCCGTGCGACCCATCGATGGCATCCAGTGGCTCATTTGTATCCTCTGCGCAATCATGTGCATACCATTTGCCGTCCTTATTCGCTGCTTCCCCGACCCGTGGTTCAAGGTCATGTTCGATGCTGTCGTGAACACCATATCTACCATCTGGAGACCTATTAGCAAGGGCCTCAGCATCGTATTTTCTCCTGTTGGTAAGGGATTCCGTGCCATCGGCCGTTTCTTCTCACGGATGTCGTCGAAAATCTCTGGACAGAGCCCTCCGGCGGCTGAAAGGAAGCAAGACGAAGAGGCTGCTGATGATTCGGAAGCCAAGGAGGCCCCTCCCACAGCCGCATCGAATGTCCCTGTTCCTGCGATCACGTTGTCCGGTAGCTAAGCCCTCATTGATTCCCCCTCCTTTCGTTCGTTTTACGTTGCAATACTGGGTGATTATTTGTATTATTTAGCGTGGCCTGTATGATTATTCGGCTGGATATTGTCGTTTATTTTCTGTGTTATAGATATCTCTCATTGCATAGCGGCGGCGCTTTTGGGATCCCTTACCTATTCTGGCGTTCCTTTTGCTCAATTCGCATGGGCATTCGTTCCGGGTAGTGTTTTTCCCCAAGTTCTGGTTTGAAAGGCTTTGGGATAATTTAGAGAAACAAATATAAAAAATATTATCATTAATAAGTTCATGGAACGTACACCGATTGGAGTATGACATGATGATTTTCATTTCAATCTCACCGATAAGTGTTTCAATACCATACAGTGCCGCGCAAGAAGTTTGAAACTTTTGAGACTTCTAATCAACATTCACTAGTCTCAAAGTAATTTAACTCTTAGTAGTTAGTAGTGATAGTAATTAGGAAGTACTCCGTACAAACCCCGTGGGTTTCTCTGGCTTGGCAGGGGCTTGGCATTATGCATCCGCCGGCCGCTGACATAAACCACCTTCCCTCCAAGGGCAACACCCAACTCCATCTATTAGCCTTATTCCCTGAACAAATGAAATACCCTTCCCGTTTTTGGTGAATAGCACCAACCTCTCCTCTCGATAATACCAAACAGATCAACTGCTCACCGGCGGGGTGGAAACCACCCAACACGGCCCCGCGCATCAAGGCCCCAGCCTAACCTTCCCTCCACGAAACCACCACTGCCCCCACCAACCGCACAATGTCCCTCATAAACTATCGCACCGTCGATGTCGACAGCATCGACCCAGACTCCTCCGTAAACTTCCCCCTAGAGACCCTTTTACCAGGCAACATTCCTGCACCCACAACCTCCAGCACGGCCGCTAGCATCGGCTCGCAGGTCCGCCAACTGCTCCGGTCCGGCGACTCGGAGGGGGCATTGCGCCATGTACTTGACACAGCGCCGTTGGGCGGCGATGATAGGGCGAAGGAGGTCCATTTAGCTACCGTTGTAGAGGTGTTGGGGGGCATAAGACAGGGAGAGATGACGAGGGTGCTTGAGGGCGTGTGTGCTGGGGATGGCGGGGCGGAGAGAGGGGATTGTTTGATGAAGTACTTGTGAGTGGTGTTTCTAGTTCTATTTCTACCTAAGTTTGAGTTTGGGTTGTGCTTTGGTAAGTACATGTACAATACTGACATTTAATGCTTGGTGGTAGATATAAAGGGATGGCTTCGCTTTCATCTGGGAGCCTCTCGCCGTCGAAGAAATCATCGCTGTCACCACAGAGTACTGGATTTTCACAAATACAGGGCCGGAATCTTGGGGAGGGAGGCGGCGGACAACAAATGAGCGTATTCTTGAGCTGGCATGAGAAATTGGTTGATATTGTTGGGGTTGGATCAATTGTTCGGGTCATGACAGATCGAAGGACGGTTTGAAAGAAATAACGGGAGGAAAAGGCTATTCTAAGGGAGAGGGGGGGGGGGGTCATGGATGTAATTTTGCTATTTACAGGAGCGCTAGGTAGGTAAAAGTTCTCTTTGAGCAGTTATTAGTTCAAACATAGATCTCAATGAGGAGCATCCTCTTTTACTCGCAGAATTTCCCATTACCAGTGAGCTATTCAAGGAAATGCCACGGGTGCTTAATTTCACCCTTGCCCAAAGTCGCCTCCTCCAAGTATATCCTTCAGATTCACTTCTCCGCTTCCACGAGCCAGAGGCTGCTTCTGCCCTGCCCCTTCTTTCCATCCAATCATATATATCAACCTGAACGTAGCAGGGATCCTTTCCCTTCCCTCTTCCCCATGTAGCTCCCTATATATAGCATCACAAGCTAGCAAAACATCCCTTGATATCGGCCCAGCCTCACGTCGCAGAATCGCGTTATTCTCGCCCATTGCCTGTAAATCAGTCATCAAAGCAAACGTGTCCGGATACTCTACGACAATATCCTCCACGTCAACCGTGAGCAGCTTAAAGCCAGCTTTGCCGAGCAATCCCCCAATATCCCGGACGTCAGCTAAGGGGGAGATATGCGGACTAACTCCTCCGCGCCGTTCAAGGTCCGCTAGTTGTAAAGATGTGCGTAGCTCGAAGAGCGTATCACCGCCAAACATTGCGGCGATGAATGGGCTGTCTGGCTTTAAGATATGGTTTACTTGGGTGAGGAGAGAGGGGAGGTCATTTATCCAATGGATCGAGAGAGAGGAGAGGACCGCGTCGAAAGTGTTGGGTTCGAAGGGGAGAGATTCGAGAGTGGGGACCACCTGACGTGTAATTTTCAGCTGGGAATTGAATGGGAGGTCTTCATCGCGGTAGAGGAGGGAAGAGGATTCGTCGATGCATGTTAGCGTTGAAATTCGACTTCCGATAGTGGTGGGATGCGGTGATGATGCCGGCGTTTTTGTAGACGGCTCTTGCTCCTGCGATTGATCTCCTGCTTCTATTTGTTCCTGCTGGGGAGGAGGCACTGGCTGCGTGAGTGCTTTCGCGATATTGCAACTGTTTGCGCCCAGGTCGAGGACATTAGGGAAATGGCGGTTGATGTCCTAGCCAAGTGAAATCAAGATTAGCCATTGAAGCTTTTCCTTTGTATACAACAATTGACGGTATAAAGCTTGCAATTAGTTAATATAATAAAACGGTTCTCCTTACAAGTAGCCGCTCACTCAGGCGAAATGCGACCTCGTCTTTGAGATAGTCAACCTTACGGCTGAGCTCGACATTTTTGCCCACCCGCTCCTTTTGCAGAAGTTTCGTCCTACGATTGAAAACTTCCAGTGTTGGTGCTCCGGGAGCCTGTACTGCATACCCTCTTCTAGCTGCGCTTAATGCTTGCCGAAAAAGGAGAGGCTTTGGCAGCCTGGTGCGGAGAGACATTGGCCTCTAGAGACGGAAAGGGAAAAAGGGCGCCAATAGAGTTAGGTAGGAGAGAAAATAGGTATAAAGTAATTATTATATGTAATTGATGTAAATAATGAAGAGAAAGGAAAGCAAATTGGTTTCGTTGTCCGCGACCTTATTTACTTGGTGACGTCGCCGGTGGAAGGGGAAATTTTGCAGCTCCTGTTCACAATGGCAGAAACTCTCAACCACAATCACCACCGCATGCCAGCCCACGAATAAATAAATAACAGAACTACGAGGGTAAACAATACCACCACAACAGCCCTACAGTCTCATGGTGAGGGACTATATACTGATTCTCACTTTGCGCAGATTTCTGGATATCGACACTCGCTGCATTTACAGCTGTTATATTCATTTGGCTTTTGCGCACACGGCTAACTCATCGCCAACCCTCCGCTTCCCCCTCGACGTTGACATTTAGCTAAGGACGTAGCCATTCGATAAATGGATAGGTTCTATTGGGATATGCGCACGTAATATTTCGATTTGGAATCAAACACACGCATTTTACGTCAGGAAGAGACTCGCACTATATTCTAAATACGTCCTCGACTTCTGATCGACAGGTCAACAAACACAATTGCGGTTCCTCAAAGCATGAGAGTGATTTTGCTAGCTCTTGTCAAAAGCCCTGTATTTTGAGCTGCCAGATAATGGCTCGTCCTTTTCCCTACACGTTCATATCGTGTCCCTGCGCAGAGACGCCGAGCACTCCTGCGCTCCCTACAAACAGGCTCTCAAGGGACCTTTCAAATATCACACTTAGCGGTCAACGACTAGACCCCGATACCGATGACGAAGACCGAACCTTTGATCCGAGATCATCTCGAGCGAATTACTCTCTTTACCCCCCTGAACATCTATTGTACTGCGAGGATTGCCATCAAATAAAATGTCCAAGATGCATAACGGAAGAGATAGTATGTTGGTACTGCCCAAATTGCTTGTTTGAAACACCAAGCAGTATGGTTAGGAGCGAAGGGAACAGGTGCGAATTACTTCAACCTAAGAAAAGAACCTATAATGAACTTCAAACTAAGGAGATATACAGGTGCGCGCGCAATTGCTTTAACTGTCCAATATGTACCTCACCCCTATCGGTCACAACTCTTGGGAGCGCCGACAATGGAGCCCAGAACGGACCTTGGATACTGTCATGCGGATACTGCATGTGGACAACTCTTGATATTGGAATCAAATTCGATAAGCCAACCAACATTCGTGCTCAGCTTACCTCATTAAGTAATGGCCAAAACCGCAGCTCCCCTGAAATTAAATCCCCCCTGGCAAACCTCACCTCTCCGGACGACGGAACAGGCCTTGATTCTCAAGATGAAAGATTGGCTGGGACTGCTTTTTCAGAAGAAAAGCCAGCAACGATTGACCCAGAGTCCCGTTTCTCTGCTCTGAAGTCATTTTACAGAAACCAGTTAACGGAAACATCAACATCTCCGACAGATCCCCTGGTTGGACCCGAACTAGGAGGCTTTTATTCTTCTCCGAGTGCGTTAAACCGTATCATGTCGCTCTACACTGCAGGAATTGGCAATCTTCATGGCGCTGGTAGCAAAAAGCCTAAGTCAAAACCACCAGTGATGCGCGAGGCCCTCACACCCGCAGAAGGCCTCCACATACCTGATCCTAACACTGAACAAGCAATCATCCAAAAAATGGCTTCCCCGGACTGTGGTTGGGACGGCCTTGCGTCTGTGGAGCAAAAGGTCTCCCAACCCCCTTCTACAAGATTTGTCGATGAGTTACGTCCTCTCCCCGTCCTCCTTCGCACCAAGAGATCAAAACGCTGCAAAGCGTGCAAACACATCCTCGTCAAACCCGAATTCAAACCACAATCAACCCGCTTCCGAATCCGTCTAATAGCCCTCAGCTACATTCCACTCACGATCATGCGTCCTTTACCTCCATTTCCCGCGAGCTCCCCCCCGGTAAACCTCGACGCCCTCGAACCCGGTAGACCCGTGCAATTCCTCATCACCCTAAAAAACCACATGTTCGACCCTATCCGTATCACCCTAGCTACCCCATCAGTAACCCCCGGCCGTGTCGAGTCAAAGGTTACGATGCTTTGCCCGCAATTTGAAGTGGGTGCCAACAGCGATGTCTGGGACGAAGCTCTGGCATCATCGGCAGCGCAAGACCCGCGCTCTTCCAGATCAGGACTGGATAAAGTCGCCGAAGCAGGAAAGATATGGGATAAGGGAAGGAACTGGACGACCGTGGCCATGGAGGTTGTGCCGGGGTCGCTTCCTGATTTAGCTCCGGGCGAGGAGGATGAGGACGAGGAGAGTGATGTGACTGGAATGGAAGAAGATGAAGATGTTATTGAGATTCCGGTGTTTGTGCGGGTGGAGTGGGAGGCTGAAGGTGGTGCAGAGGACCTGGGTATGAGACCTGATACAAGGAGGCAGCAGGAGGCGGAGATGGTGAAGAGGGAACTGGCTTATTGGATGGTGCTAGGGATTGGGAGGATTAAACGGGCTGGACACGGGCATCGCCACTAGCTACGCTTGGTTCCAGACACACCACTGTCCTTTTCCCGTTCTTGAATTTTCGTTACTTTTTCTTCCGGACTTGTTCGACAAGATACCTAACTTTCTGTTTACTCCCGTGCCTCGCATATTATACCACCTTCCACTTCTTGTATGCGATACCAGATTGGCGGTATTACAATCCCCAACCATCCTCAATTTTGCATTTGCATCCGTTTGTACCCTGTGCGCCCCGCTAGTCGCATTCCTTTCATTTTTGTGCAGGTCCAACGTCGCAAATTGTGGCCAAAGGTACGGAAGAACGGTGCCAAGGACAGCAACACCTCTTTTCGTTCAGGTATCATCCTCAAATTCCTCAAGACTCATGAATGTATTTTCCGTACAGTTAAGGAAGCTCGTTTATGTAAACAACACGCAGGAGAGAGATATCGTAGGTGAGAGGGCGGATAAAAAACGATATATAAAAGGAACAAAAGAAAAAAAAACAAAAAAAAAAAGAAAAAGCGTAACATAAAACTGCTAAGATTGCGGAAACCCATCGCTTTATTTCCCATTAAAAAACGACAAAGTTTTCCGAACTTATTATTTTATTTCATTGCCCCTTTCCTTCCCCCATGACCGGAGAAAAAAGGAAAAGAAAAAGCAACAAATAAGACCCCAGCGTTCCACACCGACCCTGCTCCCCAGACCTGTTTCCCGCACCTACATCCTATTTAAAGAACCAAGCGCGAGAAAAAAGAGAAGAAAATTTAACTTTAACATTTTTATTTTCTTTCCGCTCAGACCTCTAAAACTCCGTAGCACTGCTTTGCGGGAACTCGAATCTGACACCACGGCCCGTCAATCTCCGGTAGACCTCGCCATATGCATCGAGGCGGTGGTCGACACCGCCACGCTCCTTCTCGTGCAGGATAACCTTGAGCACCTTGGTGCCGTCCTCCTTTGTTCGCAGACGCTTGCCGACGATCTCGACGGGGTAGACGATGTCGGTAAGGATAGCCTCGTGGACAGCGGTGAGAGTGCGGGAGCGGGGGCGCTTCTGGGTCTGGGAGGTGCGAGAGCGGGCGGAGCGCTTGGGGCGCGGGAGAATGCGGCGGGAAGCGAGGATCAGGACATGGCGGTCAGAGAACTTCTTCTCGAGTTCACGGGTAAGGCTATATTAGGAAGTCGGGTTAGTGGGTTGAGCTTGAGTTTTGTGGACTGGTTGGATATGACTTTGCGAATTGTCTTAGCGACGAAGAGATTGGATGTTGTCATACCGTTGCTGGACCTTGTGGAAGCCCTGGAGGAGGGGGACTGGGACAAAGATGACAATAGCCTTCTTTCCGTGGCCGACTTCGATCTATATTATTCGAGCACACATATCAGTATACGATATTCAAGATTCACGTTCTTTCTTCAGTCCATATCCATGTCGAAATTGCTCTCCACGCCCAATTGCTGTTCTTTCTCTCTCACGCAAAAAATATTCGATTTTCCACGTTTGTCCAAATAATCCTTCTTCCCTTCCTCTCACAATCCCTTTGCGAAGATGGCCCTATATATATACCCTCCCCACCATTCGAATGCCCCAACCATATCGCTCCTGAGGAATCAACAGGAAAAAAACTCGCATTCAATTCCTTACCTCACGAGCAGAGACAAACTGCAAGGGTCTGAGGGCGGCCTTCAGATCGGGAGTGTTGGTTTCCAGGTCCGAGAGAGCACCTGCGAGGGAGGTCTCAAGCTCGGAAGGGTTTTGCCGCGAAGGGCTGTTGGCCGCGATCTTGTTGAGAGCAGCCATGATTGCAGACAACGGAGGGGATGGGAAGAGCTGTTGCTGCTGCTGTCTTTCCTTGAGTCGGTAGGGAGAAGGAAAGTCGTTGGGAAGTTGGCGGTCGTCGGAGGGTTGAACGGTCGAGATAGGACTTTTGCGCTGCCGTTTCTGTCGTCGTCGCTGTAATTTTCGTGGGTGTGGGATCGGAGGCTCGGCAGCTCGCTTAGCGGACTGCGCTTTTTCATATGCAGTTAGAGATTTGCTATTTACAGCCTAGTGTCATCCCGTGACTCTGCTCGCCCTGGAATCTCAACGTCAACTCCTTGGGAATGTGACAACCACATGATTTTGGATAAAAATATCTTAATGCACACGAGCCTCTGTGTACAAAGACATTGCAGAGCTAAGCTTAAAACAGAAGACTCTGCAAGATTGATTTTACAGCTTATTAATAGAAGAGATAGAACTGTAACTATAGTAAAAGTATATCTGTAAAGTGAAATAAGATTGACTTGAGAATAAGTTGAATAATAATATAGATAATTGATGAAAGACTGAAGAGAGATCTGTAGAACTAAGAGATAAATTAATTATCAAAGATAATAACTGCAGCTGTTTTCTCAATTGAGTTAAAAATGAAGTTAATAAGAGATGTTTTCTATAATATCTGATAATACAGTAAGCTCTTTGAATAACAGTTTTCTTTTTACAGACTACTGTTAATAAAGATATATCAGAACTATGAATCTCATAGTGATAAAACTTAATCTTAGATAATATATCTGTTTCAATAGACTGTTTACAGACTTAAGAGACTACTGTTAATTATATAAAGTATTGATATATCTAGAATAACAGAGAGAGTTCAGACTTATTTATCACAGAATCTATGACTGTAGAAGAATCTGATTTTACTGTACATGTTTATTTATAGTTCTACACAGTGTAAAGAGATAATCAGTGATAGAAAAGATATAATAAGAGAAGATTACAATATCTAAGTTCTCTAAGTATGATATTGAAGACAGACAGCTGTAGAAGTAATAGAATATTGTAAAGAAATAAATTAATCAAGACTCAAGAGACTGGTTTTATAAGCAGTGAACACAGACTTTTAATACATTATTCATTCTTGAGAATCTATGAGAGATGATTAATCAGATATATTATCTATTCAAGAATCTGTACAGAGTAGATTATTGATTAGATGTATTATCTATTCAAGAATCTGTACAGAGTAGATAGTTAATAAGATATGTAATCTATTATTCAAGAATCTGTACAGAGTAGATGTAGGCTACTGAGACAAAAGAGCTCAGTCACCACCAGCACTGCTGATAGAAGGGCCAATCAACCCCTGAAACCCCCAACAGTAGATGATATTGTGGGATGGTTAATCTGTTGTATTCGTGTAGGAAGAGCTAGCTATATATATATTACATATGAGATCATGTGTAGGCGGAGCGGTCGCTACGGCAACGCCACTAGGGCGGATGCTACAGATATGATAGTGCAATGTCACGGGATTGCGCTTCGCTTAATTCTACACCAATCAGTGGGCTGTATTCATGCCAAGAACCCCAAAAAGGAAATTCTCCACTTTTAATGACCAGGGTTTTCATCATATATTTGCTTCGCTTCGCTCCGCAAATTAATAAGTGATATACTATTACAAGATGGATATGGCATTATTCAACCTATTCACGAAACTATCTATCACGAGAAAATCCATATCCGCAACGAAGATTCCGCCTTGAACTTCAACGAATATCACCGAGGACGGCCATCCACAGCAGGTAGTTTGCATGCGCCTAACACTGCCCGCGTGTATACTTCACATGTATATATGTGATTCTTCTCTGGCCCTATATCCTAATTAAAAATTTTTGGCATGTCATACATGTCGTCAGGATCTACCATCTTATTAGCTTGGAGCTGCTCTAATACATGGACCGTTTATCCAAAGATGGCGAGGGATAAACTTACCCTTGTGGTGCTGCAGGATATACTCCCTCGCCTCATTCACATCATGGTCAAACTCAGAAAGCAACTCTTGTCTCCTTATCATAACATCCTCGACCCTAATGGCACCGCCACGAACTACAGCCTGAGCAACATGGAATCGAGAAACTCGGTTGGCCAACATCATATCAAATGGTGTCGTGGTACTTCCCTCTTCCATATATGACGCAATTGTAACCCGTTCCATATTTGGTCTTCCAAAGAGAAGTCCCTTCATTTCGGTTTCGTATCCATGATAATTGAAGTGGATCGGACGCTCGCGTGTGAAGAGAGCGCTGAATGCTTCGTCTGACAGGGCATGCGGGTGGCTCGTCTCCCTGCTAAGGATCATTAAATCCATTACATTAACTACGCGCACACGCAGCTCTGGAACCCGTTCTCTAAGTAGAGCGGCTACCCGGATGACTTCGAATGTGAGTTCAGTACCGATACCAACGAGAACCACATCTGGATCCCTCCCTTCGTCGGTAGACGCGAATTTCCAAACCGAACCACCACCGCGACAGTGCCTTTCTGCTTCATCCGGGCTCAAAAATACAGGCGTGGGCTGCTTGGACCCAACCATGAGATTGATATAGTTCTTGGACTTCAAGCGATGGTTTAGCGTAGAAAGGAATGTGTTTGCGTCCGGTGGTAGGTAAACGCGGGCCGCGTTTGGTTTTAGATTCAACACTGCCGAAATGAACGATGGGTTTTGATGCGAAAATCCATTGTGCTCTTGCCGAGTCCAGGTGCTTGTCTCGATGTAGTTGTTACTAGCAATGTCTCGGCGCCATGAGGTCTCTAGGCCCTGTACACATAGTCAGGCGCATGTCCACATGACATGTCTCTGGACTTGTAATAAGGACAAAATTATGGCTTACCATCTTATTAGTGAACTTGCAAAATTGAACCATCATTGTATGAATGATGCCAAGGAAACTCTCATACGAAGGAAATATACCCACTCGACCAGTCAATGTGTACCCTGCAAAAACCCTTGGCACATATGCTCGCTCAATACTTCAATTACACGACCAACCCTGGGCGTTGGCGATCTGGTCCCACTGGCAGTTCCTTCCCGTGTGTGCCAGCGCACCACCAAGTTTATTACTCTCCAGCTCGTCTGGTGAAAACAACCTGACAGAGTGAGGATTATCGACGAAAACTTGATCAATAAACTCAGCGATGGCTTTCATAGAACTTTCCTGCTTGCCCTTCTCGATTCCAAATTTCTTCCAATTGGGCAGTTTGGGTGCCTTGTACGATTCATAAACCTCACTTCGCTGCCCCAGCTTTTTCAGGTCATTTCGAGGGATGATTGCATTGATATCATCAGTCAAACCACCACCTTCTGTAAATAGTTCCTGCGGCTTATACGATGAGAGCCATTCGTTCAGTGTCTTTAATCCTTCCTGGTCCTTCTTGGCGGCGGGAAGAGGGACTTGGTGGGCATTGAAAGAACCTTCAACAATTTGACCATGGATTTGTTTTGGACCGGTCCATCCCTGAAGGATACACGTTAACATTTTAAAACAAGACATAAGATATTTCTCTGATCCGGGTGACTAACCTTCGGAGTTCGCAGAATCAAAACAGGCCAACGAGGTTTCATGATCGGATTTCCCGAACGAGCAGCCTTCTGTATTTCGCGGATTTCAGCCAATGCCCATTCCAAAGCTGCATTAAAATCGGCATCAATATGTTTCATATCGTCGATAATTCGTGGTTGATAGCCATATCCGACAAACAAAGCAATAAGCTCGCGATCATCCATGCATCCGAATATAGTTCGTGCACTAATTTTAAATCCATTGAGATGAAGAATAGGCAATACTGCTCCTGATTCTGCGGGGTCAATATATTCGAATACGTGCCAGGACCCTTAAGAGTAAAGTTAGCTTCTTCCTTTCATCTAATATCAAAAACTATTTCATACTATTTCACTGACGTTGCTGTCGGCCCAGATTCTGCTTCGCCGTCGCCGATGATACATGTGACAATCAAATCCGGCTTGTCCATGACCGCCCCAAACGAAACGGATAGAGCGTATCCCAATTCGCCGCCTTCGTGGATTGCTCCTGGAGTTTCGGCATTGATATGACTGTCGGAAATGTCAACATCGTCACAGATAAATCAGCCATCAAGGGGGTTTTCAGAGAGATAGAGATATTTCAACCTTGAAAATCCGCCTGTGGTACTGAACGTCGTGATCAGCTTCGTAAGGCCCTTTGTGTCTCAGCTATAGTCTGGATAAAATCTCTCCAAAGAACCTTCCATCCAGAGCGCTGTTAGGATTGCCGGTGCACCGTGGCCTGGCCCCACGACGTATATCATGTCAAGGTCATGTTTGCATATCAAGTAATTCAGGTGGGAATAGACGAAGGTCAGTCCTGGGCAGGTTCCCCAATGACCTGTTCAGATATATGTCAGCCAGGGTACAGTTGCTTGAAACAAACGTAAATCTTAACACACCTAATAATCTCGGCTTAATATCATCAAATTTCAGCTCCCGTTTCAGATATGCGTTGTCCTGCAGGAATATCATAGCTAGTTGCCGTTTCGGGATATCAGCACGTAATTAGAGAAGTTCATGGTAAAGAAGTGAATAAGCAGCTCACCGGCAGCAATATAGTTCGCGGCACGCTGGAACTTTTGTAGAGATTTCAAGACATTTTCGTTCAGCGATGTCCTTGGCAGCTACACCGCCAGTTGATCTATAGCCCCAGGTAGATGAGACGGTAATGCCTTTGGATTAGCTTTTTTGATGATCTCCCCAGGCATATTTTCTATTGTGTTCAACCTAAAATGGTCTTGTAGAAGACTACCTCTACTATATCAGACCAACGATAGTTTCCATATGACTCTTCCTCGACATATGACACATGAGATCTAATGAACAATCGCCTATATGATTGAATACAGAACTTTTTTATTTATCCTCGCTTCTAGTAGAGTCCAGCTGCAGCCGTTGTCAAAAAGCTGGAAGTGGGAGGCTCTAACTACGTCGTTTGCTGATATCAGAGTGAACTCTACCACAAAACCGGTTCGTGTATGTCATAGTTCTAACCAAGCGGCTGGATGGGATGGGAAAGGACAATGAAAACAATAGAATAAAACGTGGCAAACAGAAGTCTGCAATATAGCGTAAATTGAAATGAGGTAGTATAAATGGTGATTTTGCCTGAGTTCAGCTTGAACATTTTTATAGATCCATCCTTCTGACATATATCAAACCATGGCCCAAGCAATCCTCTCCATGAATGCCGGGTCCTCATCCATCAAACCCACCGGTGAAACTTGCAAGCGCACAAGTCGCCGGTCTTACTGCACCAACAGGCACTTTCAAGTACTCGCAAGGGCCTAACAAGGAGAAGAAAGATGAGATCCAAGAGCGAATCTCAAGCCCGCAAGAAGCATTTAAGTACCTTTTGCACCGATTCTTGAACGATCCAGATCTGCAGGAGGTCGCTAGTAAGGATGATTTTGCATATCTATGCCATCGAGTCGTGCATGGAGGTGATTTTGAAAAGGAAGCAGTGATAACGGAGGGCGCCTATAATTATTTGCTGGCCTTAAAGGAGCTTGCGCCGTTGTATGTCTGTTAGGGAGATATATTTATAAAAATATATTTTAACATACCTTCAGTGGCCTCATACATACCAAACGAAAGAGCGAGGCTGACTATGGGAAAAACAAAACAGGCACAATACAGCCTCACTGGAGATAATAGATACCTGTCTCCATGAAATCCCCAAGGCGAAGACAGTGGCATATTTTGACTCCACCTTCCACTAGTCAATGCCGGACTACGTCAAGACTTATCCTATCAGTCCCGAAAAGGCCAAAGAGAACTGGCTACGCAAGTACGGATTCCATGGGATTAGCTACTCATTCATCACGAAGGATATGCATATTAGCACGGTATGTCCAGACATATAGGAACCAGTCCCTCTCAGAGTCTTGTCCCTTTCCTCTCTCTTCAAAAAGCAGGAATCTAACCTTGTCCTCCGTCCGATCAGGCCAAACGCATCCTTAACAAACAATCAGGATGGAAGTCTCTCGCAGGGACCACCGACTTCTCTCAGATAGCCACTGAAACTCCCGCGACAGACCAGCACCGACTTGCCTTCGACATCTTCGTCGACCGCATCGTCGGCTTCATCGGCAACTACGTTGTGAAGCTCGATGGTCATGTCGACGCCCTTGTCTTTGCAGGCGGGATTGGTGAGAAGAGCACGCTTTTGAGGAAAAAAGTAGTAGAGAAGTGTAGATGTTTGGGCTTTGTGATTGACCACGAAGCAAACGGAAAGGGATTGGCGGATGGATATTGCAGTGACGGATATTTCAGAAAGGATGGAGGGTCGACCGGAGACTGCTCAGGTACTCATTTGTCAAACGGATGAAGAGGTGAGAAAAGCAGAATATTGCCCTACGTTTCTTTAATTATCATGTTGCGGCTGTCGCTTTGTCTTAATCTGTGTTAGTCGTTCCCCTATAAGCTACCACAATTAGTTACTGACGGACTTTGCACCATTAATAATTAGTTCGAAATGGCGTAGTTACAGCTATGTTAATTCAATGGCTCTGATGTCCTGATTTCAAAAGTTGGCAGATGAGAATCTCTCATCCATCCAGAAAACCCAAAACCCAACTTTCTTTTTGTCATCCATTTAAGTGCCCATGAAGTTGCGTTTGTAACTGGATCGGCTTCATCAAATCCTTGTCAATTCCCGTTTTCTAGATGCTATTCAGTCTATTTCCTTCTCAATTAAATCCAAAATCGAAGTGGTTGAGCAAGAACTCTTACTATCGGAATCAACCTGACCAATTGTCAAATTCACCTACCCAGCCACCCACCATCTAGCGAATCCTTATTGTGTCTCGCCCAGAGCAGCAATAACGCGCCTCGCACCACTTATCAATGTTTGGTCTAGCCAATTCCTCAGCTTCCAGTAGCGGCGGGCCATCTTGTAGAATGTCTGTTTGCCAAGTCTCGAATCCGTTGGGTCTCTAAAGGCTAGCGCAGGGCGAGATGGAGTAACGGCTGAGGTTTCGACAAGCTCCATGTCGTGTTTTTACCATCATCGCTTCTGGTTGGCCCGTATGTTCTTTTTTTACTGCGAGATGGCGCTAAAAGAGGGGAAAAAAATCTTGTGCTTTTTTTCATTGATCAATTGATCAAACCTCTCCGTTTCTCCCGTTGTTTTCCGTGGAAAATCCAGTGTTTTTGAAGGAGGGGATGGAACATGCATAACTGTCTTGTCATCAAGCACGTCCTCATTCGGGTTTCCCCCAGTGTGGTTCATCTAACGCGCTTTGACAACGTCGAACCACCCATGGAGGTGACTTGTCATTTTTTAGGATAAAGAAAAACGGACAAAGGGGAAAATTTTTTCTATAATTTCTTTTACTAAATTGTTTGTTTGCTCGAATGTATTATCCCGTTGGATGATCAAGAGGCGTAGCTGACCAGCGACAAATTTGTCTGGGCGAGATGGTGCTGATATTGAAGTTAAGCTATTAGTGTCAAATATGGGCTGCATTGTTTGGGAAGGTAGCATCATGTAAACAGCCTGATGAACCGGCAGATACAAACATACCTAATAGATTAACATAGATGACAATTTAACATATGATATATCCCAGCAAACTGCAAGAGAGCCAACTTGGAATCTTTTAAACTTTCTTTGTCTTGCCTTGGGTCTTGTGTTGGGTTCCCCATGGGGATAAAGCGCCATCTATATGCGTTATAAACATGCGGAATTTCCATCCCCAGCATAATAAAGAAAAGAGCAATAACATTTCCAACGGTTGGTAGCATGGAGAATATGTTTTTTCCCTTCCTTCTTTCACGCCGTTGACGATCCATCGTAGTTTCTTACATGCAGAGTGCTGATTGGTGTAACGCATGCCGGTGCGCAAACGGTTTCAGACAAGAGTGTCTGATATGATGACTGGATGGTGGAACAACCGTTGAGCAGCAGATTCAGGCCACCATCATAGTACGGTGATAGCACTTTTCAAAGAATATTCACTCTTCATTTCACTCCTTTTCTCCAGCAGTACAACGCTCAGGTGGCATTGGTAGAATCATCGAGAACATACAGTCTGTAAATATGGCAGTGGCTGGTGGATGACAAGGCGGCAGAGTGCTTAGAACTCTTCATCCCTGCTGAAACGGCATCTTTTTGTGTTGGAGAGACGTGGTATTTAAGTGGTGGAATTTCTTAATCCTCATTCAACTTGTGAGGTATCATGATAGGTACCAATTCAACGAGGTTGAATGGCACCACCCATACGGAGATACAGAACTCATTGCAACAAGGAGGTTAGCCTCTTGAATAAAATAAATTTGCAGAAGTTGGTCGATATTGAAATATTGATCAACCTGTTTTCAAATAATTACCAATAATACTGAAACAACCTCAATAGTAATACAGTAATATTGATAGAAGCCTAAGATATTGAACCGAATCTCCAGAAGAGCAAGGCCATACATACCATGGAGTCCTGGAGAGTCTTGGTCAATGTCCGCAACCATGCCCTGGATCTCAACTCAAAGGATCTGTGGTAGACTGGCGTGTCCTAGTTCTAGGAACCCGAACCTTTTATAGCGCCGCCCTTGACGAAGCCAACGAACTAGATCATCAGCACTATTGTTCCTCTTCCTTTCTTCCTACCAATTCATTCAAGGAATGTTCACGGCTGCCGATCTTGGGCGCACCCCGTACAAAAGGATGGGACATCGTAATCAACATTCGCCGATAAGTTAATTCGCTTTGTGTTGCAAACCCCGAAGATACTATTCTGGACAAGTAAAAATTAATATATTCAACGAACAGTGCGAAATTATAAGGTCCAATTGCGGTAGATCATCTATTGTTCACCACACTAAGCAACAATAGTTCGTGTTAGAGAGAAAGTAATGGAAGCATCGGCTGAAAAACTTTCTTCTGCAAGAACTTCTGAAGATTTCAAAACCACCTTCTGGAGATCACCCTCTGGTGCATGGAGGTTACATGAGCTTCCCCAGACAAATTGTGACTGATGGCGAGCTTCGCGGTGATTCTTCTATTTTTCTGCATGCGTCTTTATTGCTTCTCACCTGGCGTGTCAAGATTTCACTTGGCAAGATGCAAATTTTCTGTGTGGGGACAAGCGGGTTCAACCACAGCATTGCGGGCCAGGGCCTGGCCCAAGGTCGATAGCCGCATCATGGTTATGATCAGGTTAACGCGGCCTAATGCAACGGCGGGAATGCAGCCCAGTTGCCAATTAACTTGCTCCCAGGCCTTCTGCCTCCTTCCACAGGACAACCACAGGTGGAGAATGGGCGCTGGCGGCTTGCAGTAGTCTCGTCCTATGTCCATGGAGACGGATCTCTCGGTGTCAAACCTAATAGTTCAACCACCATTGCTGACGGAAAGCAGAAAGGTCAAAAATTACACGCTGATAAAGTTAACTATGGATGCCAGGAGTCAGCGGCCAGAGCTCGAGTCTGGACTCAATGCCACAATAATAACAAGTTACAGTAGGATTATAATTGACTTTCCAAATCGCCAATCTAAAATTGAAATCGATGGGGTTGTCATCTGTCGACTCCACCGGGTGGGGTGGTGAGAAACCTCACGCCGCCATTTTCAGCTAACAATGCAGCGCAGCCATTCGGAACGCAGCTAGTCATCCCGTAGCTCGCCAGCCAGCGCCCCCATGTTCTCCTCTGCAGAAGGTTTGGAAGCTCACGTTGATTTCTTAACGTGTCCAAATCCTCATATCTGATTGATGATTGTTCTACGTTCCTCCTACAGCCGTTCTCATACAATCGCGAAAGACTCGATGTTGGGGTCATGATCCTTGACTGGAAGCCCTATGGGCCATCAACGCGTAGGCAGATGTGAAGGCATGTGCAGGAGGAATATATATTTCTTTTTACCACATCCCACGCAGCCAGGCCCTGTTCGAGAAACTGATATCCTTTCCAAACCAATACGAGGAAAGGAATGGATTGTCTTGACGGCACATGGCAAGGCTGAATCAAATGTGAGCAGTCTCGCCGATTCGTCTCAACTTCCAACTTGCAGATACTTTTCTTTTCCCTCGAATTCCTATCCCCCAAACAGCAAGGTTCACTCCCATCTGTGGACCCTCCCCTCGAACGTGGTCCGATGGCAGCAGTTAAGAGAGGCATTTGCCCAAAAAGAACCCCCAATTATCAACACCTCCAGACTTCAAGGCATAATAGCAGATAGTCGAGAAAAACCCTGCACGAGTTAACCTGATGGCATTTTAGTTCCCCACTTCCCCCGAAACCAAGTGAAAAAAAAGTAAACCATACCTAGTAATGGCCCCCTAGAGGCTATGTTGAATTCCCAGCACACTGGTTTAGCAGGACCACGCGGCTGTTCTTCATACCGATTCCATCGTCCATCGAAACATTAGAGCCTCGAGCCTATCCGATTGGCCCATCACATCGGCGGGATCGCTCCAGCTCACTGGGGCCAAGAGAGCGGAACATGGGGCCGGTAACCAGAAAATAATAATAATGGAGTGGACTCGATTCCCCTCCGGGGCCGGGAACGGGCGACGGGTGGGAGTGAAAAAGAAAAAACAAAAAAAAAAAGCAAAGCAATTGAGTGCTTGGACAACGGCCGACGTAATCTCACTGGGCAAAGACAACCCTTCCCTATTATCATCCACCACATGGTGCTAGTTTTGCTTGTAAAAGCCAATAGTAGTAAGAAGATATCTCAGCCAGGCTTCGAGAGATGGGTGGTTCCATCCTGGGTTGGGTGGGCCAAAATGACACTTCCCGGGCCCGATTCCGCGGTTCAAGGGACGGAGAGTGGTGGAGCTAAAGTATGATAGTTAATAATAGTTTCCCTTAACTAGTCGCAGCAGAGCTTACCTTTAGCCAGTTTTGGATGTGAATGTGATCAATGTGACTGGTGAGCTTCAATAAAAAATTAAAAGAAATTCCATGATACAGCTGGTAACTACGGTACGGAGACTAGAAGAATGATTGAAAGGCTTTAGAGTCAAGAATAATAACGCCATTGTTGATGTCCTTGTCTATTCTGATCTTGGGAACAAAAAAACTTATGATGAGCATGAAAATAGCTCAGAGCTTTGAGCATAATATCTTACCTGTTTTAATTTTACGCTCGTGTGACGCCCCTGGCGTACAAAAATTTCATTTTTGCAATACCATACCTGAGGGGATCAATAGCGGTAACGCGGAACAAAAGAGCTTCCTTATTCCTATGCGGAAAAGTCGCTGGTGGGAATTCCTTTTAATTTTTAATTCTTTTTTGATATTTCTATTGGTTTTTTATGTTCTATTTGTTTTGGAGGGAATGGACCATTCAGGGAAAACTCCTTTGATATTCGTAAAAGAAAAGTTGGATGTCTCCCTTCTCATTTTAGGACATTACGCGGGTAATAATTAAGACTGGTATTACGGCTTATTTGGTACGTGCATGAAACCGGTTGGTGGCCCGACAAGTTACGCTTTTTACTAGAAAATTCCTTTGGGGGCCAGATTCCTGCTGAAAGGAAGCAAGTTCAGGAGCCTTACCTCACTTGACAATAAGTTGCCATTATTTTAGGGGCCGGTCATTGAATGATTGGTGCGCAAAATGAGGTTGGGTTTTCGGAAATTGGGCGGCTGCGGGTAAGCGTACTAAACAAACCGCTTCACCCCTGTTGGACCTCGTAATAAATTCATTCTCGAACGCTCATGGAAAAATTCTAAATAGAATACTAGCGGGTTGGATCATGTGACTGCATTGCTTGCTCGGTGCTGATCCCTATCAGCATTGGTTGGGAGTTGTTGAATCTAAGGCATTGATCATTTTGTTGTCTGATTGGCACGGAAAAGGAGGATGGAGAGGAGTTTTGGCCACAAATATACGTGCAGATGAAAACAGTGCCCTGTCTATGACTGTTAACAATTCTTGAAGAACTCATATCCAAAGGAGCACCTTGTGAGGCACTTTATGGTCAGTGACGATGTTGATCGACGCAGCCCCAACTGAAGGAACCCAGGTTTTCCGCTTTCCTTTCTTTTTTCCCCCCAGCGGTTGGCTGACATCTGTTGGAAGATGGATTAGCTTGCGAGTTTCCTGGCTGGGTTCTGGAGATATTCTCGGACACAGATTTTCCGAAAGCTCGTGTTTAGGGTTATGTATCTGCCACTGATCAATCAAGCAGGCTTTTTAATCTTAATTAGCATTGAGCAGGAGCGTCGGCAATCACGGTATTTGTCCGAAAAGCTGTGATCTCTGGCCATTTCGATTTTCACGCACCTGGTTGAGAGAGAGGGGCCTGAAATATCGAGGAGAAAAAGAGATAATAAATAACGGAATGAAAAGGGTTGCAACGTCTAACCTCGCCGGATTGTGCTTATGGTGGAGCCCGCATTTGCTCCACATCCCACCCACCGGCACTGCAGCAAGGCTGGAATGTCCCTTGTAACATGCCGGTACTTGACGGAAACGTGGAGAGAGTACTTGAAGCTCCAAGCTCACCCTGCAGCTAAAATTCAGAAACGGGCCAGAAGAGCAGATGCCTTCGGCAATGCATGGAGATCATCCAGTCACAGAGGTTCATATGATGTCAAGAAAAGGAAAGAAATTCTGAAAAACCGAAGCCACTACTCTAGCCGCCAACAGACTTCGGGCTTTGAGCAAAGAGTAACGTTCGCTTGTATGCGGTTGAGTCGTAAGAGGCCGGGAGAGATGAAAGGAGAATCCGCAGCCAGCCCTGTTGTTCCCTGCTGACCACATGCGAAAAAGTTTTTTGACAACCCATGGTTGCGCCAGCGGGCCGCGGGCCTGGTCCAAGGAACCACACAAGGGGGCACCGTGGAGATGCCCACTTAGGGATAATCGGTGGAGCATTCTTACATGCTCTTCACAATAATGTATGCCGTAACAAAGCCCCCAAAAACGAAGATAAAAATAGCGAATAATGTGCAAAAATATAACTCCATTAAAGTAATTATTATTAATCAACTTGCATGCATAACTCCGTACAAATGGAAAATAAAGCAAAGCCGAGGGGCGGGAATATTGATAGCGTGAGAAAAAAAAAAAAAAAAAAAAGAAAGAAAGAAAGAAAGAAAAGGCCAGAGCTAGTTTGGAGTTCCAAGATTTTAACAAGGATTCGAGAGCTGGCTAGAAAGTTTCTAGCGTTTTTCTAGCTTTCGATGGCGGCTCCTCAAGGACTCCAGCGATCTTTAGTGCGTTTCCCGTGGATGCTCGATTTGCTCGGCTGGATGAATAAATGGATCATTCCTCAAGCCATGGCCCATTGGATGATGGATCGGTGCAACGTGGGAAGTTGTTTCGGTGATATGGGCCCATGGTGCGACTCCCACCCCATTTCCATCATCTAATATTATTCCCGCCCTGACAACGGAAATCCTGGCTAAGCCACAGACGGTCCGTACTCCGTAGATTGAAGGAATTTTTTTGTTTTTAACAGGGGGATCTCGTATCTTACTCGTAGCGCCTTCCATATGGTAAGAAAAGAGCGACAAGATTTGTTTAAAAGCACATCTCAGCCCCCCAAATTCAAATCATGACTCGTTTGAGAACATGATTTGAGTCAGAGTTTCTTCGTAAGCGTGGCTTGTTTGGGTGACGCCTTTTTTTCTCGACCAGAGTCGGCTAACGGAGCCCCATTCTCACGCTGCCATCTGCGGATCGGCCCTGGCAGTCGATAACCTGCGGTAGTAGCAACCATTATTGTGCGGATGGAGCAGCTGAAACGCCCCCGGCTAGGAAACAGTCTTCGCCTTGTCTCGTTGGTTTGGTGACAATTGATGATACAGTTTCCCCGGCTATCTTCCTGAAATCTGAAATTGTGTTTTCGAGAGAGCGATTGTTGGATGGAACAGTCCAGCTAGGACACAGAAGTTGGTCCGAGGCCTGAATGCCGAGACAACACCCGTATGAGCAACGGGCATCCATCGATCTCCAGGTATGTACAGGCCAGATTTTACTCCGTATCATCACACAGCCCATCCATCCCTCGTATGCCCCATACGAAATATGCAACCTCCACGTGGATATCAAAAGAAATGGATGTCAAGGTAGTTAGTTAGTGATCGGTTTTATTTTGCATTTAATTTTGTTAGGCAATTACACCGTCATTTTTCTTCCCACTTGCCCTGTTGTTTCCTCTAACAACAAAGGAGATTTATTCTATTATTGTGGGAAAGAGTGCATTCGCACAAACTTTGTTGAAAGCAGCCAACCATGATTGGAAATAGTGTACCCATCCGACTTAGTTACTTCAGACAAAGCCCGGAGGATGTTAACAAAGGAGTAGGAGACTAATAATAATAATATAAAAGAATATGTTAGGCAGTTGGATTGGAAGTCCTCAACAAGCCTCTTTGCATTTAAAGTTTAAAAGCATGCACCCTTATTCATTTCATTATTTTTATTATTCCTCTACAGTAGTTACTATTCATCTTTGTTTGATCTGATCTGCGTTTCTCCCCGTACATTGCTATGTATTAATAATTTGACAAACATATTCTGAATAATTTTTTTGTTTTATTTTCTTATTCTTATAATATATACAACCTTCATCCCATCATTTTTCGGTGAGCTTGATCATCCTCAGAAGCCATCATCAGAAATAATCACCATGATTATCATTAATACACAGTATTTCCTCCCTCTTTTGAAGTCTGTGTGGTGTGGTGTGGTCGCGTTACGCTCGCTAAGCGACGTACATCTCTTAGGGTGAAACGACCGCAGGGATTGAAGGGCGACAGGCGCTTCCCCATAACACCAAATAAAGCCTGTCAGGAATGGTTCAGCCAGGTTTAGGATAAATTATTTCTTTTTCCTCCCTCCAGTACAGTCGTACTCTTTGATTTTATCCCAACAACCAACGGGGGGTAGCTGAACCACCCAACGCCTTTTCTCGTTACCAGGCCTACATCCCAAGTATGGCGTTTGTTTTCAGATCCCCGATATACCGAGCCGGGTGAACACTAGTTACTTCCTCTTTAAGTAGTGCGGAAGTTATCTTTGAAGTAGCGAATCTTGAAATCAGGGTGAGGCTTACGGAGTACATGGAGTCAACATATAAACTCCATTATTCTTTGAAATAACTATTGACCACCTCACCTGTAATTTAAAAATGATCAGTTGTGTTTACCAGCATCATGTCAAGGCACCGCCTCGAGAAACCCAATACTTATTGGCTACGCAGGTTGTTGCCTACCTGCCCAAGCGAGTAACTGGAAATAGCTGGTTGGAATGATCCAGGAAGGTTCGAGCCAACAACTATCCAGGTTGGTAAATAAAAGTTCCAAGGTTCATGTATCCCGTTCCTGTCATCGCGCGCTGTGCCTGGACACAACCCCTGTTAAGCATTTTAGTTCATTTCCGATTTCTCATATAATTCCGTCTTATCATTTTCCCGTTCTGTGTGTGAATATGTGGCATGATTCATCACTTCCTGCATGGCATCAGCTCTCGTCTTGCTCACCAATCACCAATCCTATCAAGCAAGTGAGGAAAAATCCAGCCGTCATTTTTCGAAAGTTTTGAGACTGATATCGGGCTGTCTAACAAGTCATATTGATGAAATACCATCCAGACCAGTTCAGTCACAGTCTTCTTCGCGAACGTATCACTTTTTCCACTTGGACCATCTACAGATCGATGCCACTAACCGGCCATGATTAGACGCCCTTCCTAGTTGAGGACTTAGCTTGGCCACATGCGCTATGTGTAACTGCGACATCATGCCTGTCCTACCAGACACAGAGTACCGGATGTGGTGTGTGAGCAGAGACCTTAGAGGTCAATCAAAAGGTCTGCAAAACATCGATTCGTTCCATTCAGCAACCAGATCAAAGGACGAGTAAGCCCAGCCAGCGCTGATGAGAGACAATCAACAAGCGCCAAGTTTAGGCCCCACGGCTAGTGCCTGGCGGAAAGCAGGCCGCTAACTCCTAGACCTCCCACTGTTCCATCACCAGCTCCACCCAGACCAGGAATCTGTGGGGCTGGGAGTTAGCAGGACTGCCCGCCCCCAGGTATTTTAGTTAGAACATATCCACTTTCATCTCTTTCCCTTTCTTGCTCGGGTTTTGGGATTCTGGTCCAGAAAGACCGCCAATAATGGGCCAATGGCGACTACGGAAAAAAAAAAAAAAAAAAAAAAAAAATCCGGTTAGACTTGCGAAAAACCCAGGGAAAAAAATGATATAAGAAGCCGAGATTGGATTGGTCCTTTTGTTCAATTCCAATTCCTTTCTACCAACGAGCGAGGGAATGAAGAAAGAATAGCCAAATAGAAAATGAGATATGCAAAATGGAAATACGACAGGCTGATTATTGTCGTTCGTTTCGGGACAACACCTTTGCGACTGTGATGCTGGTTGTGCCAGTCTGACGGGACAGCGTTGTGGAGAAGCAGGACGCAACCTGGTGCATGGAGGCTACAATATGTAATAATACGCAACTGGGTAGTTACAGGCGTTCTGCAAAAAGGCCAGTGTTTCTGTCACGGTTGTAAGCCGTAATGCAAAGGCAATACCCACCTTTATTTGCTTCTTCCCCGGCAATTTGGAAAAATATGGGCTCTAACTGGGAAAAGGGGCCTACTGAAGATCGTTTTCTGTTGCTTCTTTCTGTGGCCTGGTACGTTCCATACGGGCCAATTTTTATTATTATTATTATGACACGCCCTGGTACGGAGTAGCTCTGCTTATATTAATATGCGACGGCCCTCCCAGCGTCTCACCTGGACTTCTTTTAGTTTTCTTTTTTCTTTTTTCTTTCTTTTTTACTTCTCTTCATTCACTTCTCTTCATTCTTCTCATCCAGGCACCTGAGGCTGAAGCTCTCCTTCCTTCCCTTCCTTTCTCACCCTCACTCATACTATACTCATCTTTCTCTTCCGCTGTTAACCTCCCTCACGGTCTTTTGATTTCGGTTCCGCTACATCAAATTGCCCTCCTACAGCTTACTGCCCGTGCCTCGGCTTGCCCTCCTTTTTCCCTCTCGCCGAACGACCCTAAATCAACCTACTGTTTCTAGAAAACGAGGCATCGTCCATTTCGCAAAGGAGGCAGTATACCCACCCGCTATACACGTTCGGGCGCATTGCACTTGCTCTCTCCCGCTCTCTCGATCTCTCAAGGATTGCCCTACTGGACTTCAGGAGATCGTTTTAGGAATACGACGTACGACGGCACTACCAATTGATTACGAGGTTATATAGCCTTCCGTTGCATTCCTACCTCGTGCTATCGTCTTCTGTGAAATCAATACCCTTGTTGGACTTGTTCAGCCGTGATTGTGATTTTGACAACCCTCAATCAAGTCTGGGTAGTTAGTTTTTCCGTTGGTAGCGTGAGTTAGCAATCCCTCCTTTTCTTTTTACAGGGATGCGTTTGATTGAGCCGTTGGCAATTTCTTTCTTTGTTACGCTCGGTTATATATATAGCCGGCAGTACGAACCCGCCTGCGCTATCAGCTATTTTACTGTTCTTATTTTTGATTTTGATTATTAAAACAAAAGTGGCAAAAAAGAAAAGAAAAGAAAACCAAAAATTTGATATAACCAATCAGCTAACCACTTCTCAGTCATAGATTTTGCCTATGATCCTCAGGGACTTTTCTACTACAAACATGGGAAGAGGCGCGTATGATACAACCGGCGTGCCCAAGCCGCAGCCTCCTCCTAAACCACGATGACCTGGCAACTCGGTGCAAAAGATGGGATGCATACAACCAACAACATAATCTACCACTTCATCAGCTCCGCCACCTCCGTACCGCTCTGTATGCGCCTAGTCACTGTATGCTCCGGGCACCAAGTACACGTACAGTTACGGATGGCATTCACTCCCGTATCGCATCGTCTCGTCCTCTCTCCCAGCCTCTCGTCTACCATTGAACAACACATCCTCCAAAATAAAAAGATAAAAAACTACTTTCGATTTCTACTATGTTCTTGGCCATGCACATGTCGGTGCCCGATGTCAGCAGAACGCGATTCACATTTACCCCATATACTTTTTTTCCTAATAATAACCGGAGACCGGTCTGTACCAACACCATTATGACGTTCTTATATCCCTCGTTATCGTTCGATTCCCCCTTATTTGCGATCTTGCTAGCGTTTTGTACGGCATCCCCGTCTCGAAATTGATTCGATAATACCATGGGAACGACCCTCATCCAGCTTGCTTTCCTTCTCTGTTTCGTTTCCATTTCCTTGGGTCCCTAAAAGAGCGACACTGCAGAGTGCTTCTTCTCTTTATTTCCTTACTTATATTTTAATATTGTTTTCTATCTTTTATTTTTTCCATTTTTGTTCGTTTTTGATTATCTGGCGTTAAGAAAAAAATTATAGACAGGGAACATATTTTACGGCTATGGGAGATATACTACAAGACCTAGATTTTCGACTTCGCGGTCCTATCGTTCTTATTGTGTTTTCATACCCCCCTTTTTCTCTTTTTTCTTTTGTTATACCTTTTTGAAATTTATGTTAGTTATGTTATTAAGCCTTTGTGTAGGCTATTATTTTCTCCTTTTGATTTATACCAGACTTGCGTGTACAACTACTACTCTATCATGGCGAACACAGGTTTTGACCTTTTCATGCATTATACTTGTGCTTTGTGTTAATCAATGACAGCTAGACCTGACAACATCAATAACCTAATTAATCATAATTATCAGCGCGGCGCCAGGGAAAAATAGCTACTTATCGTTGGTTCATTGTACATGATGGATAGCTTTGCATGTGAAAGTCTTGTGTGCTTGTTGTACGTACCTGGAACTTTGAAAAAGGAGCTTTTTGATTCGTTTCTAGGGGCGTTGACTTGTACTATTCATCATCCCCATGCTCCCTTTTATTCCCCCTTTTTTTTACGCCTGCCTCTCCGAGACACGTATCACGATTCCTTTCTCTATGCTCAAGTTTTCAAACATGCGCCCGATGAGGACTGGTCGGGGTGTTTCTCTTTCTGTGTTTGGCCGCTTTCCGTCGCATAGTCCAAACCTTATCGTGGTTCCGATTGGTTTTTCTCACTTTTATAAGGTGGGGAAGCTCCACGTAACTTGGTGCTTGGGGCTTGGGGGGTCCCTTTCATGTATCTTTTCTTTTTCGTCGTCCTGCGGCCTGTCCAGATGGTTGTTTCCCGCCTGTGCCATGGGTGTCTGTGTCTGTGTCTGCCTTACATTCCAGAGGCTCTCGCTCCTGTTGATGTCCATCCACTGTTCGGATGGATGGATCACCGCTCACGACCCAGAGGCCAACCAATTATTCCATGATGGGTAGCCAGCCTTCCCGTGGACTTGCCATTGTCACTTTGCCTGACAACAAATTAAGACAAAATCTATGATGACATACATGGTTGCTTTTAACATCAGCGTTGATTCATTCTCCCGTGCTACCCGCTCGGCTTTTCATTTCTATTTCTATTTCTATTTTTAGAAAAGCTGCATACATGAACGAATTGTGAATGATAGTTATGTATACAGAGTACAGGGAGATATAATCGTATATCCCGTTCGCAACTATGCTGTGTCACAGTGTCAACATAGTTATGAAGAGGGATCGGTCACGCAAAAATAACATAGAAGTTTCTGTGCATGAAGAAGCCACATGTTTATTCTTCTTGCCTCTTCTGTTTCTCCTAAATAAATTTCCGGACACTTATGCATTACACCATTTTTTATTTCCCCAGAGTGGAACATTGTAGAACAGGAGGTGAGGCGCGACCATGCATATCTCTCTATATATTATAGAAAAATCTCTCTATATATTATAGAAAAACCAACTTTTCCGAGTAAAATGCCCTGTAACGTGACCTCACATGATATCACAACCTCTACCACCCCTACCACCCCTACCACTTCTATCACCTCTATCACTTCTACCACCTCTATCACCTCTATCACCACTGCCTCTACCACTTCACAGCCCCCCCTATCACTTTCACTTCATATCTCTACCCTATCCTCATCTTATCACTCACTCTCTTATCACCTCTATCACCTCTACCACCTCTACACTTCTTCCACTCCAACCTCCTCTTACCACCCCTTATCACCCCTATCACCCCTACCACCTCTACCACCACCACTGCCTCTACCGCCTTGCAGCACTCTCTATCACTTTCACTCTCTATCTCTACTCTCATCTTATCATTCTACCCCTCTCTTACCATCTCTATCACCTCTCTTATTTCTACCACCTCTATCACCCCTCTCTATCATCTTTTCCACTCTCTAGCCTCTCTATCATCATCATTATCTCTACTACTCTACAGTCTCTTTCATCACTTTCACTATCTCTACTTCTCTCTTACTATCTCTACCACATTTTGATCTCTGTGTTTATAGTATATACTGCTAAATACTCTGTAATAAAATCTCATGTGATGTCAGAA